CAGGGAGACAGAGTCACACTGAGACAGTCACAGGGAGACAGAGTCACAGGGAGACAGAGTCACACTGAGACAGAGTCACACGGAGACAGAGTCACAGGGAGACAGAGTCACACGGAGACAGAGATTATTACCTCAGGGTAAGGTAATCGGAATGCAATGGAAGGCGAGGTAACATCACCTCAGGTAAATGTAACATTACTTGAGGTAATCCGAACGCATTCACATCACTTCAGCTAATGTTCATATTTTTACGCTAATATCGTAATATCGTCACGTGGTTAAATCGTTAAACACAACGCTCGCGTGACGTCACCACCTCAGTGTCGAGCCGTCGACACTTCACGCGGCAGCCTCGAAGTGCACCCAGCCTGGCACAGGCGCCGTGGTGACGTCACCGTCACTCAGTGGCCAATGGCGGCGGTTGGTGGTGGTGGGGGGGAGTGGGGGGTGGGAGGTGGGGGGGAGTGGGGGGGGAGTGGGGGGTGGGGGGGAGGAGGGGGTGGGGGGTGGGGAGGGGAATTGGAGGGGGGGGGAATGGAGAGTGGGGGGTGGGGGGAATGGCGGTTGGTGAGTGGTGGGACGGGTGAGAGGGGTGGGGGGAGTGAGGGGTGGGAGGGAGGAGGGGGTGGGGGGGGAATGGCGGTTGGGGGAGTGGGGGGGAGGGGCATCGGGGGTGGGGGTGAGTGGGCGGGAAAAGGGGTGGGGGCGGAATGGCGGTTGGTGAGTGGTGGGAGGGGGGAATGGAGGGTGGGAGGGGTGGGGGGTAACGGGGGAGTGGGGGGGCGAGACGCGTGACGTCACCACGCAGTGACGTCATCAGAGTTTTTAAGTTTAAAATTTTTATTCTGGAGGAATCCGATGAGCTGTGAAGCTCTTTATTATCCACAGATGTCCAGTAGGGGCACGTGGTCAGAACGCCACAACAACAAACACAACACAATAAACACCGTAGCAGTGCAGAGTAGAGGAAAGGTAGGCACATGACCAAGAGAAATCTGTAGGGGCGTGTGAATTGAACTCTGTAGGGGCGTGTGAATTGAAATCTGTAGGGGCGTGTGAATTGAAATCTGTAGGGGCGTGTGAATTGAATTCTGTAGGGGCGTGTGAATTGAAATCTGTAGGGGCGTGTGAATTGAATTCTGTAGGGGCGTGTGAATTGAAATTTGTAGGGGCGTGTGAATTGAAATCTGTAGGGCGTGTGAATTGAAATCTGTAGGGGCGTGTGAATTGAATTCTGTAGGGGCGTGTGAATTGAAATTTGTAGGGGCGTGTGAATTGAAATCTGTAGGGGCGTGTGAATTGAAATCTGTAGGGGCGTGTGAATTGAATTCTGTAGGGGAGTGTGAATTGAAATCTGTAGGGGCGTGTGAATTGAAATCTGTAGGGCGTGTGAATTGAAATCTGTAGGGGAGTGTGAATTGAAATCTGTAGGGCGTGTGAATTGAAATCTGTAGGGGAGTGTGAATTGAAATCTGTAGGGGAGTGTGAATTGAAATCTGTAGGGCGTGTGAATTGAAATCTGTAGGGCGTGTGAATTGAAATCTGTAGGGCGTGTGAATTGAATTCTGTAGGGGCGTGTGAATTGAAATCTGTAGGGGCGTGTGAATTGAAATCTGTAGGGGCGTGTGAATTGAAATCTGTAGGGAGTGTGAATTGAATTCTGTAGGGCCGTGTGACTTGCAATCTGTCGGACAGTGTGATGTGTAATTTTGTTGGGTCATAGTGTTACCATCCTTGACGTGCAGGGATGACGACTAGGATTGGTGTTGTTAGGATTAGCAGCGAGCAGTTGTGACCAGGTGCTGCTGTGTGTAACGACTACAGATAACGCCAGGGGGGGGGGGGGGAGTTTAAGAGCCGGGAGCCGACAGCTTGGGGCTCGCAGTGGCTACAGCGACTATTGGAACGGTCGATGCGGCCTCTGCGTTAAACAGCAGAAGACAACGGCACAGTCTGGTTCTCCTACAACGCCGCGTGTTAGTTTGAACAACGCCGATTGGATGATATAACGCCATGAATGATGTGTAGGGGAACACGCTGTTTGTGACGCGGATGCGGATTGGATGCAACGCGAGCGAGCGAACGGAACTAGGTCGCAACGCGAGTAGGAACAAGCGGTTCTCCGTGCGGCTGCCTCGGCGTAGCGGCATCACGCGAGGAGGCATTGGGATGCTGCTGGATGCTGCTTCTAGACGCTACCCACGCGCCTCAGTCGTAGTCCGGCCTCTGTCTTACCCATCATCTCGCGTGTTGTCGCGGACCACGCTTCACCCCCTATAGTTTATATTATTTCTCCACAACGCGGTGTTCTTCAGGAACGCAACAATGACCACCTCTTCTTGGTTCTTTCGGTAAAGTCACGTAGAATGGAAATAATAAAATAAATAAAATAAAACATAAATAAAATGTTTATTTTTATTATTTTATTATTAAATAAAAATAATAATTATAAAACAATGACTTTATTGTTTAAATTTTATTATTTCCATAAAAATAAAACATAATAAAGTAAATGTTTATTTTTATTATTCTATTATTAAATAATAAAACAATAAAAATAAAACAATTACTTTCTTGTTTTATTTTTATTATTTTTATTATTTCCATAAAAATATAACATAATAAAGTAAATGTTTATTTTTATAATTTTATTATTAAATAATAAAACAATAAAAATAAAACAATTACTTTATTGTTTTATTTTTATTATTTTATTATTTCCATTCTACGTGACTTTACCGAAAGAACCAAGAAGATGAATCCCTGCAGTCACGAAAGAAGCTTTAAATCGAAATGACCACCGCGTTACAGGAGAACAACAGATCGTGAACGCGCTTCGACGATTCGTGGCAACGGCAACACAAAGCGCCACGCGCAGTCTCTTGCGACCAGCGGTGTCTGTGATGAAGGTTTTTGTTGTCGTCGCTGCTGCTGCTGCTGCTGGATTAGATGGCGTTGGATCACAATCCTGGCACATCGCCCGATGAAACCGGTCGCCGTTGTTTGTAATCACCGGCGAAACGTCACCGGCACTCGAATTGTAAATGCTGTTGTGGGTTCACTCTCCCCGACACACAAGCGCTGTGTGTGCTGAAGTTGGTAACCAATTGGCACGTTTCGTTTACGTGACAAACCCTGACTGATTGGCCGTGTCAGGCGATGGTGGTGGGTGGTGGTGGGTTAACGACACAATGTTGATATTTACGAGATCTCTAACCCAACAACAACAACAACAAAAACCAAACCTCTGTCACGGAAAAGTGTTACCGCAGAGCAAGTCGCTCCGACCTCCTGGAGATACCGGTGAAACAGGCTAAAAATTAACCCGTAAAAACAAAGTTTTTCACTATAAATCCTTTATATGCGTGGCGGCTAGAGTCCTCTCGTCCTCTGGCTTGAGATGGCTGCCACCTATGGCTCAGATGGTTGCCTGCCACCATTAAGCAATTGGTAATTAAATACAATTTTTTTTTTCCTAAAAAGTGTAAAATTTTGGTAAAATTTTTTCACGAAAATAAATTGTCACGCACAACGAGTCTGTGTGCAAAATGTCAGCTCGATTGGATCACGGGAAGTCGGTTAAAAAACGACTGAAAGATTTGCACGGTCGTGAGCGCGCAAGCAAGCAAGCAAGTGAACTTAATATAAAGGATTTAAAAATAACCCCTGCCCCGATTAAACCCGGATATAGTTTGGCCCAGGCCAGAGTAGACCCGGGGGATAAAGTGTCCTAGGCTAAACTATACCCGGGGGTTTAAACTAGACTGGTCCAGACCATACCCCCCCTCCAGGGCAGAACATGCCCCATGTGAAAGTTCAAAGGCAATTATCCATACAGAGAACAGCCGACAACGGACTTCAATCGATATCTAAAAAGCGTATAAATGGAAGTAAGAATCTCAATTTGATCAATTGAAGCATTTTTAGGGTTATTATCAGTTTTTCTGGTTGAAGTAATCAAAGTCTATGTGTTTACAGTTTTAAATAAAATGTTGAAAAAATTTAGTAATTCATGTGTATATCACAAATACCAGCTATTAAAGCAAATCCTGGAAGGAAAAATCGAAGGGAAAAAACGACCAGGACGGCCAAAAACGACATGGCTCAGTAACATCAAAACATGGCTACAATTAACAACAGCACAAACTCTACACGCCGTGCTAGACCGGGACCAATATCATCGTGAAGTCGCACACGCCGTTAGGCAGCACTAAACAAGAAGATATCGCTCAACACTATTACTATCATGGGGGTATGATTTGGCCTAGAGGGGTATAATTTGGCCTCGGCCATGATACACCCGGGTACAATGTAGCCTAGGCCGCTTGAACCCCGGGTAGACTACGGCCTGTTGCACCGGCACGGGCTGTGTGAGCTGGGCCGCCTTCACAACCAACGAGACGCCGCCGCTGCCAATTGGGACCAAAACGGCAGCGCTGCCTCCACCGGTCCGGTGAGGTCATTCTCAACAGGAGATTTTTGTTTTTCGATTTGAAGCTTTCGTGACTGCAGGGATTCATATTGTTGGTTCTTTCGGTAGAGTCACGTAGAAGGGAAGTAATAAAATAATAAAAATAAAAGATAATGAAACAAAATATAATAAAATATTTTATTATATTAAATTATTGTTTTATTTTTATTATTTTATTACTTGCCTTATAAGTGACTTATATAATAATATGTTATATTATTATATTATTTTATTATATCATATTATTTTATTATGTTTTATTCTTATTATTTTATTACTTCCCTTCTACGTGCCTTTACCGAAAGAACCAAGAAGAGATTTTTTTTCGATTTGAAGATTTCGTGACTACAGGGATTCATATTCTTGGTTCTTTCGGTAAAGTCACGTAGAAGGAAAATAATAAAATGATAAAAATAAAACTATACAATTCTCACGACGTTTCGATTGCAACGCAAGCAATCATCATCAGGTGTGAAAACCACAGCAATATTGTTTTTGTTGTTGTGGGTTTTCATAAACTGATGATTGCTTGTGTTGCAATCGAAACGTCGTGTTAATTTGATTCTTACATTTTTATTATTTTATTATTTCCCTTCTACGTGACTTTACCAAAAGAACCAAGAATACAGTAGATTTTTATTAATCATTTTACTTTTCCAGGTAAGGCCCCCACTGAGCTGTGTAGTAGCGACCTGGCTATCACAAATGACAGCAGCGCACCGAAGTGGCTTATCACGTGACATTTACAGCAGCCAAATACTCTGAACACATGTGGAGATGTTAACTACCTCTCCTGGTATACAGGAGATCGTGTGTTTGATTCCGACCCTGACGCCTGCTGTATATTTTGAGTTTGCGCGTCTCTCTCTCTCTCTCCCCGTGGTCGTGTGGATTTTCTCCAGGTCCTCCGGTTTTCCCTCGACATTTAGAATCGAGATCACGCAATCAGAGTATTTGGCCGCTATAAATGTCCACACAATGATAAGCCACTTCGTTGAGCTTTCATTTGTGATGGCCAGGTGGTCGCGTCTGATAAAAGAGCTACTACGTATCCAGTTGGACCTTACTTGGTAGAATCCCAAGATAATGTTTGTTAGTTTAAGTATGTATATATATCATTTTAAACAGAATCACAAACTAACGCTCAACTTTCTTAAACGTGCAAGAGTCAACGCGCGCCACCACCGTGCGACATCACGCGAGCAACCGGGACGACGCAGAAAATCTCTCAACCCTTTCCCGCGTCCGAGACGTCTGCAGAGTTGCAGGGTCGGTGGGTGTCACCGTTCACGGGGTGGGTGTCACCGTTCACAGGGTGGGTGTCACAAGGGTGGCACAGTCGGGTTTTTTACAATCGGGTTTAATTGTCTTTTTATATTAAACCCGATCATCTAAGATTGAGAGAAATCCGGTTTCATTGGTTCTAATTGCAGAACCGCACTTCTCAACGATGGGCTTCATCCATTCCAAGCTAAGGAACTCACTGGCGCCCACGATTGTGGAGAAGCTCGTGTTCATTAAGACCAACCTGCCCGCCGCATTCTACGACTACCCCGTGCCCGACGGCCCCGAGTACCATAGCAGCACCGACGAGGAAGCAGCCTAAGCCTATCAGAGTTTCGTATTCATTAAACCAGGTTTTAATTCCCCGAAATCGGGTTTAATTGTGTTAAAGAAAAAACCCGATGCCTGCAGCTGGAAAAATCGGGTTTTTTCCACCCATGGGGTGTCACCGTTCACGGGGTGGGTGTCACCGTTCACGGGGTGGGTGTCACCGTTCACGGGGTGGGGGTCACAGGTCACGGGGTGGCTGTCACCGTTCACCGCAGCAGTGGCAGCAGCAGCAGCAGCACTGCTGTTGTTGTTATAAAGACGTCGTTGCTCACCGCAGAGAAGCGTAGCGACACGACCGCCGCCACTCTGCGCTAGCCGGCGCGAAAACTGTGCCACACTCCCTGCCCCGCGTGGCCCTGTGGGAGCCTCGGTACCGATAATGTTGCTTTAGTTTTTACTGCGTTTTGTTATTCCGACGACGACGTTCACGCACGGCGCGCGGCGTCGTCGCGACGGCAAAGGGTTAAGTTCACGCTGGGAACATTTTCAACGGGGGAGGCAGCAACAACACGCAGGGTGATCCAAGTGCAGATGCCCCAATCATACCTACACCCCCCTCCCCCAACGCCCTCTCGGAATATTTTTTCAGACCGCAGGAATCCGATGAGCTATGAAGCTCTTCTTCGCAGATCTCCAGCCGTTCCACAGATGTCCTCTCCTAACACCCCCCCCCACCTCCTCCCCGTAGCTTTCCTCTCAGCGGCAAAGTGAATATCGCGCAAGCGATGGCTCAGGGCTACGGGACTGAGTGCACGGAGATTTGTGAGCGGATGCCACCTTCGTCATCGGCCGCGGTTCAGTCTACCGCTGGATGGGTACGTACTGTACGTACTGTACGTACGTCGCACGGGGCAGGGCTACGAGACGGCACGCGGTGCGCATGGAGACCGGCGGGAGACGTGCAGACTGGGGTATCTGTAGGTGGATCGCCCTGCGGTGTCCCCCTCTAGGGTAACAACAGTGCAGCTCTGCACGGGGGACTCTGCACACTCACACACACAGGGACCCCCAGGTGATGGGGGTGGGGGGGGGACACGTGCAGTGGTTGGGACCTAGAACTCCGCACTTGCAATCGAGGGGTGGCCAGGTCGGTTTAATCTCCCACCCCCCACAGAGTGTGAGGCAGGTGTAGGAGGGTCCGTAGGTTTCCGTGTTCACATTCAAAATCAGTTTCAAGAGTGGCACAGCCTCGGCTAGTCACGTGGCCTGTTGTTTAAAACTAATTCACAGCTCGGCGCTGTGCGCGTTTTGCTCAGGATGGCTGACTTTTCTGTTTCCACGGGAATGAGAAAATGCATTCTGGCCGGTGTGTGTTCTCTGGTGCCGGCAAAGACTGGATGGGTCTGCAAACACCTTCTCACACACGGTGCACTTGAACGGCTTTTCTCCCGTGTGTGTTCTCTGGTGCCTGTGAAGATCTGATAGCTGTGCAAACGCCTTCTCACACACAGTGCACTTGAACGGCTTCTCTCCCGTGTGTGTTCTCTGGTGGCTGTGAAGATGTTGTAAATGTGCAAATGCCTTCTCACACACGGTGCACTTGAACGGCTTCTCTCCCGTGTGTGTTCTCTGGTGGCTGTGAAGATGTTGTAAATGTGCAAATGCCTTCTCACACACGGTGCACTTGAACGGCTTCTCTCCCGTGTGTGTTCTCTGGTGGCTGTGAAGATGTGATAGCCGTGCAAACGCCTTCTCACACACGGTGCACTTGAACGGCTTCTCTCCCGTGTGTGTTCTCTGGTGCTTCTTCAAGGTACTCTTGTAGTCTGTGCTGTATGGACATTGGTCACACTGATGACTTTTGTTACTGGGCTTAGTGGGGTGTCTGCTCTGCACGTGATACTGTAGACTCGAGCGGCAGATGAACTGACGGTTGCAGGCAGGACACGGCAGCCTTGTGACCTCCACACCCACTCCACCTGCGTCATCCCAGAGGAACAAGACACACGCGCACACACCAACATCTAGACATGAACACTCTTGCACACGTGTGTGTATACACAAAGGTAAAGGTTTCCCACAGCCATATCAGACTGTTGGGCAAGTGCTGTTTGCGAGTACCTATGAAGGCCGGCATGGCACACGAGGGAGTAGGTGGCCAACACCAGGCCCGGCCGCCTTTGTCTCTCCAGTGGCGATGTTTCCACGTTTAAGCTAGGTACTCATTTGAGGCTGAGTCAGCCTAGGGGAGGCCTAAATATTCACCACTGACGTTGGCCGTGAGTGGGAATCGAACTCAGGTGGCCGGGTTCGTAGTGCAGTGGGCTCCATTATATATACACACAAAGACAAAGAACCCCCATATAGCCTGTATATACTTTTGGGACAAGTGCTGTTATGGGCACCAATGAAAGCCAACACGGCACACGAGTGGGAGGGTGGCCAGCACCACACATAGCCGCCTTTGTCTCCCCAGTGGCGATGTTTACTACTACACACCACACCAGTTACTCACTTCCACCTTATCAGTGTGGCTGGTGCCTATCATCTCTGGTGAGTGGTGGCTGTCATCTCTGGTGAGTGGTGGCTACCAACTCTGGTGAGATGTGGCTATCATCTCTGGTGAGTGGTGTCTATCATCTCTAGTGAGTGGTGGCTATCATCTCTGGTGAGTGGTAGCTACATCCACATCTCTGGTGAGATGTCGCTATCATCTCTGGTGAATGGTAGCTATCATCTCTACTGAGTGGTGGCTATCGTCTCTGGTGAGTAGTGGCTATCGTCTCTCGTAAGTGGTGGCTGCCATCTCTGGTGAGTGGTGGCTATCATTTCTGGTGCGTGGTGGCTATCATCTCTGGTGAGTGGTGGCTATCATCTCTGGTGAGTGGTGGCTATCGTCTCTCGTGAGTGGTGGCTATCATCTCTGGTGAGTGGTGGCTATAGTCTGGTGAGCAGTGGTGAGTCTCTGGTGAGCAGTGCTCACGGTGTTCCTCGCTTGGTGGAGGCTGCACGGGCTGCAGGTCTCTGGCGGTGGCCCTAGGAGCCATCTCGCTGCTGCTGCTGCTGCGGCGTCGCGAGGGCCCGGCCTCGCAGGCGATGCCCAGCTCCTGGGCGAACTCCTCGCCGTACCAGACCAGCAGCTCAGAGCCGGGCCCCACGGCACGGAATGTGCGGTAGTAAATCTGCCCTCGGTGCTGGAAGGCCACCAGGTTCTGCTCCTGCTCATTCCTCGCGCAGTTGACGAACCTGCGCGGGCAGACGCGGGGGCGGGGTGGGCGCCGTTAGCGAGCGCCTATTAAGGGCCGGCACTGGGCGCTACGTGGGGGTGGTGTGGCTGGAACCACGCTCCGTACCGGGTGCTCATTTGATGCCGAGTCGACCAAGGGGAGGCCCAGGGTTGGTCTCTGTGTGTAGTGGGTCTGGTCTCTGTGTGTAGTGGTTCTTGTCTCTGTGTGTGGTGGTTCTGGTCTCTATGTGTAGTGGTTCTGGTCTCTGTGTGTGGTGGTTCTTGTCTCTGTGTGTGGTGGTTCTGGTTTCTGTGTGTGGTGGTTCTGGTCTCTGTGTGTGGTGGTTCTGGTCTCTGTGTGTAGTGGTTCTGGTCTCTGTGTGTGCTGGTTCTTGTCTCTGTGTGTAGTGGTTCTGGTCTCTGTGTGTGCTGGTTCTGGTCTCTGTGTGTAGTGGTTCTGGTCTCTGTGTGTGGTGTTTCTGGTCTCTGTGTGTAGTGGTTCTGGTCTGTGTGTGCTGGTTCTTGTCTCTGTGTGTGGTGGTTCTGGTCTCTGTGTGTAGTGGTTCTGGTTTCTGTGTGTAGTGGTTCTGGTCTCTGTGTGTAGTGGTTCTGGTCTCTGTGTGAAGTGGTTCTTGTCTCTGTGTGTAGTGGTTCTGGTCTCTGTGTGTAGTGGTTCTGGTCTCTGTGTGTAGTGGTTCTGGTCTCTGTGTGTAGTGGTTCTGGTCTCTGTGTGTGGTGGTTCTGGTCTCTGTGTGTGGTGGTTCTGGTCTCTGTGTGTAGTGGTTCTGGTCTCTGTGTAGTGGTCCTTCAGACAATAATCACCTCATCCAGTTTGATTTAGATTCATCCTGAGCATCAACATATTCACGATCCTTTTTGTTTTTGTAAATCTGAAACACACACGCACACGAGCGGATCCACGGATAATTAATGTCAGTTGGACTGTAAGTTGAACTTCTTTCGTACCGCACGTAGCCAACCATGCTGATCGGAGGTGCGGGGGAAGGACAACAAACTAAACACTAAAAGCAGTTCTAAAGAAATGCATTTTCAATCTACAAGATTTTAAAGTGCATAGCTCCCAGTGGCTTCCTAACATTGGAAGGAAGAACCTTCCAGACGGCCGCAGAAGTGCATCTGTAAGCGCCGCGCCATGCGGTGACCACCGTCTTTGCTGTGTGTTACAAGTTCAAATAATTACGTTAATTTTTGGGTCTCTCTGTGATTCTGGGGGTCTTTGGGTGAGTCTCTAGGTCTCTGTACGAGTCTCTGGGTCTCTGTGCGAGTCTCTAGGGTATCTGTGCGACTCTGGGTCTCTGTGTGAGACTGTGGGTCTCTGTGCGATTCTCTTGGTCTCTGTGCGAGTCTCTGGGTCTCTGTGTGAGACTGTGGATCTCTCTGTGCGATTCTCTGAGCATCTGTGTGAGTATCTGGGTCTCTCTGTGTGAGTCTCTGGGTCTCTGTGTGAGTCTGTGTGTCCCACTGTGAGTCTCTGGGTCTCTGTTCAAGTCTCTAGGTCTCTGTGCAAGTCTGTGGGTCTCTCTATGCGAGTCTCTGGGTCTCTGTGCAAAGTCTCTGGGTCTCTCTGTGCCAGTCTCTGGGTCTCTGTGTGAGTCTGTGGGTGACTGTGTGAGGCTATGGGTCTCTGTGCGAGTCTATGGGTCTCTGTGTGAATCTATGGGTCTCTGTGCGAGTCTATAGGTCTCTGTGCGAGTCTATGGGTCTCTGTGCGAGTCTATGGGTCTCTGTGTGAGTCTATGGGTTTCTGTGCGAGTCTATGGGTCTCTGTGTGAGTCTATGGGTCTCTGTGAGTCTCTGGGTCTCTCTGTGCCAGTCTCTAGATCTCTGTGTAAGTCTGTGGGTGACTGTGTGAGGCTATGGGTTTCTCTGCATCTCCTTCACGAGCCTCCTCTCCACACACACGATGATGATGTAGGAATAGGAGGAGGCTGCAGCAGTAGCAGCAGCAGCTCACCAGCCAGCAGTACTCGCTCACGGGGTTCTCCTCAGACACCTCTCCCTGGTAGGGCCCAAAAATCACCCCCTTGGGCAGCTTCTTCCTGTTGCTCCACACCCCGAGGCCGGCGCCGGCGATGGAGGAGGCGCCGACGGTGAGGCCCTGGGGCAGGCTGAGCCGGGCCCTGTTGGCCACTCCCGGGGCCACGGCCGCGTCTGCAATGAACTCTGGCGGGCCGTGCACGGAGCACTCCCCCAGGTAGAAATCCCTGCACAGCTCGCAGACTGAGAGCCACAGCAGCAGCAGCAGGAGGAGGGCGAACCGCAGTAGCAACAGCAGCAGCAGCAGTGGCACTGTGAGAGAGTGAGAGGGTGAGGAGCGCTCCAGACAGATGCCTCCTTTCCTCCCTCTCTGCATTGTGAACTTCTTTAGCTCGCTCATCGGAGATGTAAACCCTGTCACCCTCCCTGCTCCCTCCCTGCATCCCTGAGTGAGGGAGCAAAAGACAGGGAGGTAAGTGAGAGTGCGAGAAAGGGAGCGTGTGAGAGGGAGGGAAAGGGAGAGAGAGTGAGAGGGAGCAGGTGGAATATATCGAGTGAGAGCGCGGGAGCAATAGAGAGAGATAGGAGAGAGTGTGAGAAAGTTAGAGTAAGGGGCCGTCCATAAATGACTTCATGCACCTAGGGGGGTGGGGGGGTCAGACATTTGTGACGATGTGTGAGGAACCACAGACAACACGTTCTACTTAATTAAATACTTTTTAATAAATGTTTTCTCCTACAACATCAGACTGCAGTGCCACATTAAATATGCACTACAATGACAATAGTTTGAAGCGATTTTAAGCATATTAAATGAGCTTTGTGACGTCACATTTGAGGGGGGGGTCTGACTTTTTGTGATGTCGTGTGATGGGGGGGAGGGGGGTCCAAAATCGCGTGACGCCATTAATGGACGGCCCTAAGAGAGTGTGAGAAAGTGACAGTGTGAGAGAGAGTGTGAGAAAGTGACAGTGTGAGAGAGAGTGTGAGAAAGTGACAGTGTGAGAGAGAGTGTGAGAAAGTGACAGTGTGAGAGAGAGTGTGAGAAAGTGACAGTGTGAGAGAGAGTGTGAGAAAGTGACAGTGTGAGAGAGAGTGTGAGAAAGTGACAGTGTGAGAGAGAGTGTGAGAAAGTGACAGTGTGAGAGAGAGTGTGAGAAAGTGACAGTGTGAGAGAGAGTGTGAGAAAGTGACAGTGTGAGAGAGAGTGTGAGAAAGTGACAGTGTGAGAGAGAGAGAGTGAGAAAGTGACAGTGTGAGAGAGAGTGTGAGAAAGTGACAGTGTGAGAGAGAGTGTGAGAAAGTGACAGTGAGAGAGAGAGAGTGAGAAAGTGACGGTGTGAGAGAGAGTGTGAGAAAGTGACAGTGAGAGAGAGAGTGTGAGAAAGTGACAGTGAGAGAGAGAGTGTGAGAAAGTGACAGTGTGAGAGAGAGAGTGAGAAAGTGAGAGAGAGAGTGAGAGGGAGCAGGGGGTCTCACAGAAGAAGTCGTCGTCCTGGGGCTCCTCCACCTCTGTGTAGACTTTCCTCTCGCGCGGGCGCAGGCCGTAGCGAGAGCGAGCGCTGCGCGACACCGCCACAGCCTGGGCGGAGGCCGGCGGCACGGAGGAGCCTGCAGGCAAACACGGCGAGATGTTGACTACCTCTCGTGGTATACGGGAGGTCGTGGGTTCCATCCCGACCCTGACGAAGCCTGCTGTATATTTGGAGTCTGCGTGTCTCTCTCTCCTCCGTGGCGAGATGTTAACTCCCTCGCATGGTCTACAGGAGGTCGTGGGTTCCATCCCGACTGTATAGTTTACAACATGTTACCCTATTTGTATTTTTGTATTTTTAGATTGTATATTATGGCTAGTTTACATTTTATATTGTACACTTATTCACAATTTTACATACTTTAGCCCCTTAGTATTAGTTAGACTTTGTAATTTTAGTATAGTTTGACTGTATACCACTCATTTCAGTTTTAAGATTCCTACATGTTGAATGTATGCACCTTCCGGCCATAGTAAATTCCTTGTCTGTGCAAACTTTCATGGCGAATACCTCCCCGTGGTTGCGTGGATTTTTCTCCGGGTCCTTCGTTTTTTTCCCTCGACATATAGAACCAACGTCATGCGTTGAGAATATTTGGCTGCTATAAATGTCCACGTAATGACGATGATGACAAGTCACTTCGTTGAGCTCTTATTTGTGATAGCCAGTCGCTTCTGAAAAACAGCTACACAGCTCAGTGGGGCACACCCTGGTTGCTAATCCTGCATAATGCACGGGCATATGTAGTATTAATCACATACCTGCATTTCCCATATCCCCTCCCTTTGATGCTGCTAGTCCTGCATAATGCACGGGCATAAGTAGTACTAATCACATACCTGCATTTCCCATATCCCCTCCCTTTGATGCTGCTAATCCTGCATAATGCACGGGCATGAGTAGTACTAATCACATACCTGCATTTCCCATAAATATGCTAAATGCCTCTTGATATGCATATTCTTTTGTCAAGGCGCTCTTTCCCCCCCTTCCAACCCAGCTTATATATATGCTCCAAGCACGTGTGCTGTATCATTCAGACGCTGTCGCCTCGACAGACCTGGTTTTCACCTGAGGACGGCTGCTTGCGTTGTGGCCGAAACGTCGTGAGAATTGTTTTGTTATGTTTTATTTGTATTATTTTATTACTTCCCTTCTACGTGACTTTACCGAAAGAACCAATAAGAAAAATAAACATCGTTTAGTTCATAGGCTGCATCAGTACCAGCAGCAGCCCTGACAGGAGCACATGTAGCAGTAGCATCAACAGCAGTGGCGACTTCCATCAGCACTAACAGAAGATTGCGGAGTTCCGGTGAGAATAGAGGGGAGCGTGGAGTTCCGGTGAGAATAGAGGGGAGTGTGGAGTTCCGGTGGGAATAGAGGGGAGTGTGGAGTTCCGGTGGGAATAGAGGGGAGTGTGGAGTTCTGGTGAGAATAGAGGGGAGTGTGGAGTTCTGGTGGGTATAGAGGGGAGTGTAGAATTCCGGTGAGAATAGAGGGGAGTGTGGGGTTCCGGTGAGAATAGAGGGGAGCGTGGAGTTCTGGTGAGAATAGAGGGGAGTGTGGAGTTCCGGTGAGAATAGAGGGGAGTGTGGAGTTGCGGTGGGAATAGAAATCACCGCTGCAGGCTACGCACCTCCACGTATCCTCTGGAGCGCCACCCTCAGGGCCTCCTTGCAGGCGGTGGCTCTGCGCTCCAGCCTGAACATCGCCATCCTGGCCTTGTGCACCTCCCTCAGCTCAAATCCCCTGAACTCCTCCTCCTGCTGCTCCTCCTCCTCCACGCCCTGCAAGATGCTCCACACGTACTCCAGGGCTTCCGCTTTAGTCTGAGCGGAGGGGGCGGTGGGGTGAGGGGGCGGAGGGGGTGTGGGGGCGGAGTTGGTGCGGTGACCAGCGGTGGCTAGGAGATGTTAACTCCCTCGCCTGGTACGCAGGAGGTCGCGGGTTCCATCTCGACCCTGACACCTCATCGGATTCCTCCAGTACAATACATATTTTAATTCTGATATTCTGAATCTGTAAATCTGATTCCATACATCAAGCAGAACCATGCCGTCATGCTGAACCTCGGTGGGTATGGCAGGCCATGCCTCTTCACAACTCAACTAATTAATAAACTAATTATAATAATGTAGTGGACACCGTGACGACAGAGACAGTTGAAGTAGAGGCAACCCATATTTATTAACTCTGAGCCCGTTACAGCTTCACACTTGAAGAGGTAACGGCCTCTTCACCCGTTCTCTCAAGGGAGCTAACTCCCCAAGCTAACTCACCGACTCCCCACCAATACTACGACCCTCCTCTCAAGGAGACTACCTGACCTGGCCCAGCCAAGGCACAGGTCCCGACCACCAGCCACACGAATCCGGCCCTTACAAGGACATCAGCCTTCGCAGCTCTGGGGTCGCACCACTGGCTTGCTCTGCCCGGCCTTTAGAAGGACAGCGGGTCAGAGGAGTCCCAGGGTCTAGCTAGCTGGACTTCAGCTGGTTCTTCGTCCTTGGCTTGTTCGAACTAACTCTCTCCTCTCAGAGTCTCGCCTTTTATACGATTCCCCACTGAGGGGCGGGGTTCTGTGGGATCACACACACCCCACAGCCCCCTCCCCTCGGGAGGGGCCCCGGCTAGGGATATCACAACCGCCCCGCACAGGTAAGTAATGGGAGTTAACCGGAGCTGGTGTGCGCGCGTTCCAATACCACCACCACCACAATAATGACGCACGTCTCTGGTATAATTATATAGAAATTACTTTTATAACACAGACCAGTGGAACATTTTTTTGTACTTTTCGTAACAGCTATTTTCATTGGAGTATATGACAGGTGAGGCTCTGCCTCGCCCGTCTCCCCTGACCGCACGTCCCTGGTATAGCAGTGTCTAGTAGTATGTATGTACGTTGAATGTCTTTGTCACCGTACGTAGCCAACCTCGCTAATGGGAGGTGCGGGGGAAGGACAACAAACTAAAGACAACAACAGCAGCAGCAGCTGTAACGAGAGGAGTGCCGTGCGCTGTGCACAGAGACCTTGCGCTTGCTGGAAGCTGCCCTCGCGTGAGACTCTCCCACGGTGGCCCAGCGTGAAGCAGCCCCCTTGCCTCCTCCTGCGTGAACACACGCACACACGTGAACACACGCACACACGTGAACACACGCACACACGTGAACACACGCACACACGTGAACACACGTGTGAACACACGGACACGCATGAACATATGCAAGGACAAAGCTCCCCCGTATAGCCTTAACAGACTGTAGGGGCAAGTGCTGTTAGTGAGCACCTATGAAGGCCAGAACGGTACACGAGGGGGTGGGTGGCCAGCACCACGCCCGACCGTCTTTGTCTCCCCAGTGGTGATGTTTACACACCGCACCAGGTACTCAGTTGAGGCTGAGCCGACATAGGGGAGGCACAGGACCGGTTCAAATAATCGTCACTGGTGTTGACCGTGAGCGGGAATCGAACCCGGGTCGCCGGGTTCATAGCGCAGCGCGCTAACCGCTACACTACCGCTCCCCATATGCACACGCGTTAACACACGCACACACGTGTGAACACACGGAAATGCATTAACACACACACACACGTGTGAACACACCCACACGCGTATTTACGCATGCAAACATTTACTCACTCACATATTTACCAAAAAGTCAATGATCTCCCCTGTGCCGCCTTAACAGACTGTTGTCACAGGACAGAACCAGGTGCCATGCCATGGGTTGACTGTTGTGCCAGGCTAGGTGCAGGTCACGAGACGGACCCTGCAGGTGCCATAGGTTTACTGAGATGACTGCCAGATGCACCACCTGTGCCCGCGACTGTGCCAACTCGGTCCACAATTAAAAAGATGCCCCGTGTAGCCTTCACAGACTGTTGCGGTCAAGTGCTGTCAGCAAGCAGCATCTACGAAGGCCAGCACGGCACACGGGGGGATGGGCAGCTAGCAACACGCCCGACCGTCTTTGTCTCCCCAGTTGTGATGTTTACTACACACCACTGCACCGGGTACTCATTTTGACGCTGAGTCAACCTAGGGGAGGCTCAGGACCGGTTCGGATCGTCGTCACTGGTGTTGGCCGTGAGCGGGCATTTAACTTGGTTCCGCTGGTGATTACAACCAGCTTCATCAAGCGAGTCTACAGGGGTCTCTGCGTGAGTCTACAGGGGGTCTCTGTGTGAGTCTACAGGGGTCTCTGCGTGAGTCTACAGGGGGTCTCTGTGAGTCTACAGGGGTCTCTGTGTGAGTCTACAGGGGTCTTTGTGTGAGTCTTCAGGGGGTCTCTGTGTGAGTCTACAGGGGGTTTCTGTGTGAGTCTACAGGGGTCTCTGCGTGAGTCTACAGGGGGTCTCTGTGTGAGTCTACAGGGGGTTTCTGTGTGAGTCTACAGGGGGTCTCTGTGTGAGTCTACAGGGGGTCTCTGTGTGAGTCTACAGGGGTCTATGTGAGTCTACAGGGGGTCTCTGTGTGAGTCTACAGGGGTCTCTGCGTGAGTCTACAGGGGGTCTCTGTGTGAGTCTACAGGGGGTCTCTGTGTGAGTCTACAGGGGGTCTCTGCGTGAGTCTACAGGGGATCTCTGCATGAGTCTACAGGGGGTCTCTGCGTAAGTCTACAGGGGTCTCTGTGTGAGTCTACAGGGGTCTCTGCGTGAGTCTACAGGGGTCTCTGTGTGAGTCTACAGGGGGTCTCTGCGTGAGTCTACAGGGGGTTTCTGTGTGAGTCTACAGGGGTCTCTGCGTGAGTCTACAGGGGGTCTCTGTGTGAGTCTACAGGGGGTTTCTGTGTGAGTCTACAGGGGTCTCTGTGTGAGTCTACAGGGGGTCTCTGTGTGAGTCTACAGGGGGTCTCTGCGTGAGTCTACAGGGGGTCTCTGTGGGAGTCTACAGGGGGTCTCTGTGTGAGTCTACAGGGGGTCTCTGCGTGAGTCTACAGGGGGTCTCTGCGTGAGTCTACAGAGGGTCTCTGTGTGAGTCTACAGGGGGTCTCTGTGTTAGTCTACAGGGGGTATCTGTGTGAGTCTATAGGGGTCTCTGCGTGAGTCTACAGGGGGTCTCTGCGTGAGTCTACAGGGGGTCTCTGCGTGAGTCTACAGGGGGTCTCTGTGTGAGTCTACAGGGGGTCTCTGCGTGAGTCGAGAGGGGGTCTCTGTGTGAGTCTACAGGGGTCTCTGTGTGAGTCTACAGGGGTCTCTGTGTGATTCTACACAGGGTCTCTTTGTGAGTCTTCAGGGGGTTTCTGCGTGAGTATACAGGGGGCCTCTGTGTGAGTCTACAGGGGTCTCCGTGTGAGTCTACAGGGGGTCTCTGTGTGAGTCTACAGGGGGTCTCTGCACGGTCTGCAAGCGCCCTTTTACGTTTGCCTCTTCGTCCTCCGTGCATCGCCACCTCCTTCCTCTTCCTCCTCCCTGTCCACTCCTCGTCGGAGTCGCTCGACCGCCCGCACTCCGCTCTATTCCCCCTCGCCCTGCGCTTGCCGCGTGCGCGCATGAACTCGGGCTGGGCCGGGTTCATCCCTGCGCAAGGAGGCAGTCGGTCATTGTTATTTGTACGTATTGGCAGTACACCCGTGCAGCATAGCAACACACCGGGTCCTCGTAACACAGTCCTGACGATGTGATTACTATCAGAGCGTGTTTGTTTGCGTGTTCAACACAAGTACGCGTGGTTAATGCAGTAACTTGATTCCTTGCAAAAAGGAATCATCTATTTGGTGTGTGAACATCTTAACAGCTCCTGTTTTATTGCCAGAAAGGGTAAAACCGATTCCTATTTTTTATACTTTGATTCTGGCAAAAAGGTCCAATGATATAGCTACTCACCCCGAGCTATAAATGCTCTTGACACTGCATTGTCTTTGTACTGGTCGCCTTTTGGTGTTGTTCTCTGGTCTGACACTGGTGAGACTAGGCCATGAAGAAGGCTGTCTCTGGGGTAGACCAATCAGTATCAAAGACAATGATTAAATGTTATCAGAGAGTGTTTGTTTGCGTGTTCAGTACGCGTGGTTAATGCAGTAACCTGATTCCTTGCAAAAGCTATAATCTATCTGGTGTTTGAACATCTTAACACCTCCTGTTTCATTCCCATAAAGAGTAAAACCGATTCTTATTTTTCATAGTCCCGACGATGTCGCCGTTGCCCCTTGAGTGAGCTGCAGGACTCTCCATCAGAAGTTGCACTCAGATTCAGCAGCCGCGTCCCCCATTCCGAACGTGCGGTGGCGACACCACGAGTCGTATCGAGGCACCGTCCGACCGAGTCTCTAGGGGCACGAGGAGTCCAATCTTGCCACTGGAGCACGGAGCAGCCGATCGTCATCAGACTGGGCGCCGCTGTACGGCAACAGACTGCGAAGCTTCGTGTTCAGTGCTGCTCATGTCACGTTCCGTCTTCCCACCGCTTTGGCATCACGACAACTGATTTTGACGCACCACCACCACCCCAAAATATCCTTCTGTCTGGGGTCTCGAATCGCGAAGAAATAAATAACTTTTGCCAAAAATGTGATGATTATTTCATACAGCGCAACGGTGTACCGCTACTACGTTCATTTAGATTATTTGGCTGCTACAATAACTCCAAGCAATACAGTAAACACGATAGGAGTGCAAAGTATAGAAAAGGTAAACAAATTACACACACACAAAATACATTTTTTTGTAAATATTCTTTGGTTCTTTCGGCAAAGTCACGTAGATAGAAAAATAAAGTGAATAAAAATAATCAAAAACCACAAAAACGTTCATCCTCACTGATGTTGCTGACTGGTATCTTAGCGCTTTTGAGGGTTGCAGCAATTTCAGATCTTGTAACGTCTGCAGCGATGCGCCCCAAACCCTTAAGAGCGACATCGACCTGGGCAATAACGTCATCCACTGGAATGTGTTTGGGGGTGACTGAGAAGTTCAACCCTTTAGCCAAAACCGACTTTAGACCATCGCACATTGGGCTATTACTCAGATTAATAACAACCTTGTCAACGTCTAACCTTTTAACGTGTGGATCTGGTTTCTTGTTAGAAAGGAGGTTGAACTCGAAAATCAGATCTTTACATTTCGCTGACATTGTAGTGGCTGATTAAGCGGTCATGTTATCTACATGTTCCCAATCAGATGTCGACATTTTTCCCGTCAATGTTAAGTGTGATTTCAAGAGTGTCTTGTCTACATGATCTAGTTCAGTATGGAGCAGTCTAATTCTCTCTGAGATCAGGGCCAAGCTCGCCCTGAACAAAATTCGTCTGGCATTGGAAGATGTGACTGCAGCAGAAATCAGTGTCAATGAGATCGGTATTACGTTAGAGTCACGGCATCTCTTCAGAAATGTGAGTGACTCGATCAGATGAACTTTCTTGTCACGGAGATTGTTAAAAGATCTCATGGTTATGTGGAAACCCTCCCAATAGAGGCAGTTCAAATGATACAAATTAAGTGAATAAAAAATTATAAAAATAAGACACTAATTAGACTGCTCCATAAAAAAAACACTAATGTATACATTTCAATTTAAAGCTTTCGTGACTGCAGGGATTCATCTTCTTGGTTCTTTCGGTAAAGTCACGTAGAAGGGAAATAATAAAATATTAAAAAGAAAACATTAAAATTGTATTTTAATAATTGTATTTCATGTTTTTTTCCCTTCTATGTGACTTTACCGAAAGAACCAAGAAGACTAATTTATAACTCAAAAGTTTTGATTATACATGAGTGCTTTATCATTTTTATTATTCACTTTATTTTTATTTTAGTTTTTCTATCTACGTCACTTTATCGAAAGAACCAAAGAATATGAATTCCTGCAGTCACGAAAGTTTTAAGTCAAAATAAACAATTTTTGTAAATGTTGTGGGTTTACTCTCCAACATTATGAATCCGTAGGTAAAAAATAAAATTTAAATTAATAAAAGTACTTTTATAAATTTTAATTTTACTTTGATTAATTTTAATTTTATTTTTTACCTACGTGACTAGAATTATGAATCCGATGAGCTATGAAGCTCTTTTTCATAGATGTCCCATAGGGGGCACGGGGTCAGAAAGTTACAACACAAAACACAAACACGATAGGCGTGCAAAGTAGAGTAAAGGTAAACAAATCATTAAACTAAAACTAAATCTATTTTTACTTCACCAGGTGAAGTCCACTGAGCTATTGGCTCCTTCTTCAGAAGCGACCTGGCTGCCACAAATGACAGCTCAACCAAGTGGCTTACCACGTGGACATTTATAGCAGCAGACAAATACTCTAAACGCGTGATGTTGATTCTACAAGTGGAGCAAAAACCCGGAGGACCGGGATCTAACCCACGACCTCCTGTAGACCATGAGAGGTAGTTAACATCTCACCGGGGAGAGACACACGCAGACTCCAGATATATGACAGGCATCGTCAGGGTCGCCATCGAACCCACGACCTCCTGTAGACCAGGCGAGGTAGTTAACATCTCGCCACCATGGCGCCCCATGCATGCCACTCTGCTACGACGTCTTGGTCTCATCATTATAATCACTGCGACAATTAGTTGAGTTGCGAAGAGGCTCGGCCTGCCGTACCCACCGAGGTTCAGCAGGACGGCGTGGTTCTGCTTGATGTTCCTGTAGCGCCGCTTCTCGCACTCGGCCAGATCGCTCCACTCGGCCTTGGTGAAGAAGCCTCTGATGTCTCGGAAGTCGCCCATCTCCTGCTGCTGCTGCTGAGGCGCAGAGACACGGAGGGACGAGACGCGGACGACGGTCAGATGCAGTCACGGAGATGGAGTCACATGGAGACAGAGTCACAGGGAGACAGAGTCACAGGGATACGAGACTAAGATCCCCCGTGTGGCCTTAACAGACTGTCGGAAGGCGAGGTAACTCTACCTCAAGCGATGTAATATAACGTTAGGTCGAGGTAACATTACCTCAGGCAGAGGTAAAATTACGTCAGCTAAGGTAACATTACCTCACCTGAGGTAACATCACCTCAGATGAGGTAACATCACCTCAGGTAAATGTAACATTACTTGAGGTAATCCGAACGTGTTCACATCACTTCAGCTAATGTTCATATTTTTACGCTAATATCGTAAAATCGTCACGTGGTTAAATCGTTAAACACAACGCTCGCGTGACGTCACCACCTCAGTGTCGAGCCGTCGACACTTCACGCGGCAGCCTCGAAGTGCACCCAGCCTGGCACAGGCGCCGTGGTGACGTCACCGTCACTGAGTGGCCAATGGCGGCGGTTGGCGGTGGTGGGAGGGGAGTGGGGGGGGGTGATGGGGTGGGGGGAGTGGGGGGGGGTTTATTATCGGAGTCGCAAAAGTTGCTACAAATGCTACGGGCCCCGCACTTTCAAGGGCCCCGCGCTAAATGCTTTCAAGATATCAATTCGGGTTAATTGATTCTGCACTTGCTCTATTACTATAGTACTATACAGACTTCAACTTTTTTTTTATGAACGACTGGGTGTTTAAGGTTAGCGATTAGTCGTATTATCCGGCTGTATAGCAAATGAAAAAATACAAATACTTTACTGTGCAAGTAAAAAATGTGTTTTAATGTTTACGTTTTAAAAAAATTATTGGGCCCCTTTCTAGCACATGCTACAGGCCCCGAACTAACTTTATCCGGCACTGAGGGTAAGGTAATCAGAATGTGATGCAATCCGTATCAAATCACGTTATATTATAAGGTAATCTTCACCGCGACATTCTCATTCAGTGCAAAGTAAATCTTGTACAATTAATTAGTCGCTCGTGTCAACACTGTACGAGATGTGTAGCTGTAATCGTAACGTGAAGTCGTCTCGTAGCGTAAATCTTACGATTTAAAATTCGCGTGAGATAGAATCCTCACTTGACTACTGGTAGGAACCTCCTGGTTACACCAGCCCACAGGGGATTAATGTGTCCGTCCGTCCGTCGTGTAGGGAGGGGCTGGGTGGGGAGGGAGGGGCTGGGTGGGGAGGGTGGGGATGGTTGGGGAGGGGAGGGGCTGGGTGGGGAGGGTGGGGCTGGGTGGGGAGGGTGGGGCTGGGTGGGGTGGGGCTGGGTGGGGAGGGAGGGGCTGGGTGGGGAGGGTGGGGCTGGGTGGGGGAGGGGTGGGGAGGGGCTGGGTGGGGAGGGTGGGGCTGGGTGGGGAGGGAGGGGCTGGGTAGGGAGGGTGGGGCTGGGTGGGGGGTGGGGATGGGTGGGGCTGGGTGGGGGGTGGGGAGGGAGGGGCTGGGTGGGGGGTGGGGAGGGGCTGGGTGGGGCTGAGTGGGGGGGGCTGGGTGGGGGGTGGGGAGGGAGGGGCTGGGTGGGGGGTGGGGAGGGGCTGGGTGGGGCTGAGTGGGGGGGGCTGGGTGGGGGGTGGGGAGGGGCTGGGTGGGGGGTGGGGAGGGAGGGGCTGGGTGGGGGGTGGGGAGGGGCTGGTCACCCCGTGGTGCCCTTAGTAACCTCAGGTCGAGATAACATTACCTCAGGTGAGGTAACTTTACCTCAAATGAGGTAACTTTACCTCATGCGAGGTAACATTACCTTAGGTGAGGTAAAATTACTTCAGGTAGAGGTAACATTACCTCAGGCGATGTAACTTTACTTCAGACGAAGTAATATAACGTTAGGCCGAGGTAACTTTACCTCAGGCAGAGGTTAAGTTACGTCAGGTAAGGTAACATTATCTCAAATGAGGTAACTTTACCTCAGCTGAGGTAACTTTATCTTAGGCGAAGTAAAATTACTTCAGGTGAGGAAACTTCACCTCAGGTAGAGGCAACATTACCCCAGGTTAGTTAACTTTACCTCAGGCGAGGTAACTTGACCTTAAGTGAGGTAACTTTACCTCACATAGAGGTAACATTACCTCAGGTAAATGTAACATTACTTGAGGTAATCCGAACGTATTCACATCACTTCAGCTAATGCCCATATCGTAATATTCTCACGTAGTTAAATCATTAAACACAATTATCGCGCGATTATTACCTCAGGGTTACATAATCGGAATTCAATGGAAGGCGAGGTAACTTTACCTCACGTGAGGTAACTTTACCTCAAGCGATGTAATATAACGTTAGGTCGAGGTAACATTACCTCAGGCAAAGGTAAAATTACGTCAGGTAAGGTAACATTATCTCAAATGAGGTAACTTTACCTTATGCGAGGTAAAATTACCTCAGGTAAATGTAACATTACTTGAGGTAATCCGAACGTATTCACATCACTTGAGCTAATGTTCATATTTTTACGCTAATATCGTAATATCGTCACGTGGTTAAATCGTTAAACACAACGCTCGCGTGACGTCACCACCTCAGTGTCGAGCCGTCGACACTTCACGCGGCAGCCTCGAAGTGCACCCAGCCTGGCACAGGCGCCGTGGTGACGTCACCGTCACTCAGTGGCCAATGGCGGCGATTGGTGGTGGGGGGGGGGAGTGGGGGGGGGTGGGGGGTGGGGGGAGGAGGGGGCGGAATGGCGGTTGGTGAGTGGCGGGAGGGGGGAATGGAGGGTGGGAGGGGTGGGGGGTAACGGGGGAGTGGAGGGGGCTAGACGCGTGACGTCACCACGCAGTGACGTCATCAGAGTTTTTAAAGTTTAAATTTTTATTCTGGAGGAATCCGATGAGCTGTGAAGCTCTTTATTGTCCACAGGTGTCCAGTCGGGACACGTGGTCAGAACGCCACAACAACAAACACGACACAATAAACACCGTAGCAGTGGAGAGTATAGGAAAGGTAGGCACATGACCAAAACACATCTGTAGGGGAGTGTGAATTGAAATTTGTAGGGTCGTGTGAATTTAAGTTTTGTAGGGTTTTGTGAATTGAAGTCTGTAGGGGCGTGTGAATTAAAATCTGTAGGGTTTTGTGAATTGAAGTTTGTAGGGTCGTGTGAATTGAAGTCTGTAGGGGCGTGTGACTTGAAATCTGTAGGATCGTGTGAATTGAAATCTGTAGGACAGTTTGATGTGTAATTTTGTTGGGTCATAGTGTTACCATCATTGCCGTGCAGGGATGACGACTAGGATTGGTGTTGTTAGGATTAGCAGCGAGCAGTTGCGGACCACGCTTCACCCCCTATAGTTTATATTATTTCTCCACAACGCGGTGTTCTTCAGGAACGCAACAATGACCACCTCCTCTTGGTTCTTTCGGTAAAGTCACGGAGAATGGAAATAATAAAATAATAAAAATAAACCAATAAAATAAGTTTTAGTAGCATTATTTTATTATTAAATAATATTTTTTTCTTTTATTAACTAATACAATAATAAAAATAAAACTTACTTTATTGCTTTATTTTTATTATTTTATTATTTCCATTCTACGTGACTTTACCGAAAGAACCAAGAAGATGGATCCCTGCAGTCACGAAAGAAGCTTTAAATCGAAATGACCACCGCGTTACAGGAGAACAACAGATCGTGAACGCGCTTCGACGATTCATGGCAACGGCAACACAAAGCGCCACGCGCAGTCTCTTGCGACCAGCGGTGTCTGTGATGAAGGTTTTTGTTGTCGTCGCTGCTGCTGCTGCTGGGTTAGATGGCGTTGGATCACAATCCTGGCACATCGCCCGATGAAACCGGTGGCCGTTGTTTGTAATAACCGGCGAAACGTCACCGGCACTCGAATTGTAAATGCTGTTGTGGGTTCACTCTCCCCGACACACAAGCGCTGTGTGTGCTGAAGTTGGTAACCAATTGGCACGTTTCGTTTACGTGACAAACCCTGACTGATTGGCCGTGTCAGGCGATGGTGGTGGGTGGTGGTGGGTTAACGACACAATGTTGATGTTTACGAGATCTCTAACCCAACAACAACAGCAAAAACCAAACCTCTGTCACGGAAAAGTGTCACCACAGAGCAAGTCGCTCCGACCTCCTGGAGATACCGGTGTAACAGGCAAAAAAAAATTAACCCGTAAAAACAAAGTTTTTTACTATAAATCCTTTATATGCGTGGCATCGGTTTGATGTTATTATTCATTTCTGTTTTTCTTGAGTAAGAGTTTCATTTTTATCACATTGGTATTTTAAATTAAATATAAGTAAGGTCGTATATAAGGATTATAAGGTTTTCAGTTTTTGTATGATGGTTTATATTGTACATTTTTGTTTTCTTGAATAATTTTCTGTGTTTAGGAAAAACATATGATTGTGTTAGTGAAATTTTTATTTTCCTAAACAGTGTAAAATTTTGGAAAAATATTTCACGAAAATACATTGTCACGCACAACGAGTCTGTGTGCAAAATGTCAGCTCGATTGGATCACGGGAAGTGGGTTAAAAACAACCGAAAGATTTGCACGGTCGTAAGCGCGCAAGCAAGTGAACTTAATATAAAGGATTTAAAAACAACCCCTGCCCCGATTAAACCCGGGTATAGTTTGGCCCAGGCCAGAGTATACCCGGGGAGATAAAGTGTCCTAGGCTAAACTAGACCCGGGGGTTTAAACTAGACTGGTCCAGACCATACCCCCCTCCAGGGCAGAACATGCCCCATGTGAAAGTTCAAAGGCAATTATCCACACAGAGAACAGCCGACAACGAACTTCAATCGATATCTAAAAAGCGTGTAAATGGAAGTAAGAATCTCAATTTGATCAATTGAAGCATTTTTAAATCCTTTATATTAAGTTCACTTGCTTGCTTGCGTGCTTGCGTTCTTGCTTGCTTGCTTACGACCGTGCAAATCTTTTGGTCGTTTTTTAACCCACTTCCCGTGATCCAATCGAGCTGACATTTTGCACACAGACTCGTTGTGCGTGACAATTAATTTTCGTGAAATTTTTTTTCAAAAATTTACATTGTTTAGGGGAATTTTTTTAAATATTTAATTACCAATTGCTTAATGGTGGCAGACAATCATCTGACCCATAGGTGGCAGCCATCTCAAGCCAGAGGACGAGAGGACTCTAGCCACCACGCATATAAAGGATTTATAGTGAAAAACTTTGTTTTTACGGGTTATTTTTTAGGGTTAGGGTTATTATTAAAGTTTTTCTGGTTGAAGCAATCAAAGTCTATGTAAAATTTCGATTTAAAGCTTTCGTGACTGCAGGGCTTCATCTTCTTGGTTCTTTCGGTAAAGTCACGTAGAAGGGAAATAATAAAAATAAAATAATAAAATATTAAAATAAAATAATAAATTAATATTGTATATTTAAATAATATTATATTATAATATATTAACATAATATAATAAAATAATATACTATAATAAAATAATATAATAAAATAATATAATAAAATAATATACTATAATAATATAACTTATTATGTTTTATTTTTATTATTTTATTACTTCTCTTCTAGGTGACTTTACCGAAAGAACCAAGAGGAGATTTTTTTTCGATTTGAAGATTTCGTGACTACAGGGATTCATATTCTTGGTTCTTTCGGTAAAGTAAAGTAGAAGGGAAATAATAAAATAATAAAAATAAAACAATAAAATTCTCACGACGTTTCGATTGCAACACAAGCAATCATCATCAGGTGTGAAAACCACAGCAATATTTTTTTTGCTGTGGTTTTCATAACCTGATGATGATTGCTTGCGTTGCAATCGAAACGTCGTGTTAATTTGATTCTTAAATTTTTATTATTTTATTATTTCCCTTCTACGTCACTTTACCGAAAGAACCAAGAATATAGTAGATTTTAGTTTTTCACTTCACTTTACTTTTCCAGGTAAGGCCCCCACTGAGCTGTGTGGCTATCACAAATGACAGCAGCGCACCGAAGGGGCTCATCACGTGACATTTACATCAGCCAAATACTCTGAACGCATGTTGAGATGTTAACTACCTCTCCTGGTGTACAGGAAATCTTGTGTTTGATTCCGACCCTGACGCCTGCTGTATATTTTGAGTTTACGCGTCTCTCTCTCCCCGTGGTCGTGTGGATTTTTCTCCAGGTCCTCCGGTTTTTCCCTCGACATTTAGAATCGAGATCACGCAATCAGAGTATTTGGCCGCTATAAATGTCCACACAATGAGAAGCCACTTCGTTGAGCTTTCATTTGTGATGGCCAGGTGGTCGCGTCTTATAAAAGAGCTTCTACGTATCCAGTTGCACCTTAACTGGTAAAATCCCAAGATAATGTTTGTTAGTTTAAGTTTGTGCATATATACTTTTAAACAGAATCACAAACTAACGCTCAACTTTCTTAACCGTGTAAGAGTCAACGCGCGCCACCACCGTGCGACATCACGCGAGCAACCGGGACGACGCAGAGAATCTGTGGGGGCCGTTGGCCCCCGGGGTCCCTCCCGCCTGCATCCCCTATTCCGTTTACGTTACCCCACCTCCCTATTACTCGCTACGGTTTCGCCGGCATTCGAATGCGACGCCCCTACTGTTACGGCCTCGCGCCGCGCTCCCACGCTGCGAGCATACGTGCGCACATCCTCGTCAATCAAACGCCGTGCTCGCAGTATAGCCCTGTGCGGCACGTTACCAATGCGCATCCGTATCCGACATGTAACGAACGTATGCACACACACACACACGCCGCTCCGTGCACTCCAACTCCACACCAACTACGCAAGTTATGATCGCGCACCTGTATCACACACGGAGTGAACACACGCGACACCCACTCTTGCGCCGCTCTGCGCAGCGCTCGCCGTCTGCTGGCCGCTTGCGTTATGATCGCGCACCTGGGGTACGCCTATTACGCACGCCGCGAGCTTACGCACACACAGTACCACACGCGTTCCCACACGCAACCCGCGCGCTCAGCTCCGCGCAGCGCTCACTCACGTGGCGAACCACGGTGCACACAGCGCACCCACACGCTCACACCGCACGACAAGATCACGCGAGACCACGCTTCGCTATTAATGATTTATTATATGCTACCTGCGAATTGATGTGTAATCAGTGAGTCGACGAGGCTGGCCTATTCCACTAAACCTGTACCTATTCCCTATTTATCGGCTTACGATACCCTACTTCACCTCCCCACTCACTGTTTGGTGCCCGCGGAGGTTCGCTGCTCTCTGCGCTAACAGCGTACCTCGATGCGTCGCACGGACGTCCGGGTCGCTGGCTGGAAGTCCTGCTGGTCCGCTGGCCTGGAGAGAAGGGGGCTATTTCCCCTCTGCGCTCCTCTATTTATCCTCCCTACCTCCCAAAGGGGATGCTGCGCTGAACAATGGGCTCGTGCACCCCAAGCCCGCGCACGGCAGTCCCCAGGCGCTGTTGATATGCTAATCAGTGTGCTGCGTGCAAGGCGTAAATCCTAATTACTCCCTTACCCTTCCTACCAATGGGGCTTGCGCGCTCAAGCGCAGTTATCCCAACCCTCCATGACTATGCGCAACAGCCCCTGTGACCCCGCTATTCATGCTGTCCCGTGCCTCCCCTGCTTGCCCCGTCGACTCGTGGGGGTGTGTGTGGGGGGAAATGCGCCTCAACCGCGGTGGCCGAATGCCCCACGCCGCGACCACACCATATTAAGGCCGGCAGCAGCGCCGCGGTACCACGTAGCACGGGGGAGGTCATCCAATTCCCTGATCGCCGGAAACCGTGAGAATTAATCCCGATAAGGGTCTCTCGGATAAAAACCGGTCGATCAGGTAACCTTCCCTTCCAGCTCTATGGGGGGGGGGGGGGGGGGGGGATGCGTGCGGGTGTGTGCTTATGTGGGGCGGGTGATTGGGGGCAGTGCGGTGGGGGAAGCCGGGCGGCTCCCTGGCTCGGCAGAGCGGCCCCGTCGCTGTGGCACCACAAATCTCTCAACCCTTTACCGCGTCCGAGACGTCTGCAGAGTTGCAGGGTCGGTGGGTGTCACCGTTCACGGGGTGGGTGTCACCGTTCACGGGGTGGGCGTCACCGTTCACGGGGTGGGTGTCAGAGAGGCATCAGCAGTGGCAGCAGCAGCAGCACTGTTGTTGTTGTTATAAAGACGTCGTTGCTCACCGCAGAGAAGCGTAGTGACACGACCGCCGCCACTCTGCGCTAGCCGGCGCCAAAACTGTGCCACACTCCCTGCCCCGCGTGGCCCTGTGGGAGCCTCGGTACCGATAAAGTTACTTTAGTTTTTACTGCGTTTTGTTGTTTCGACGACGATGTTCACGCACGGCGCGCGGCGTCGTCGCGACGGCAAAGGGTGAAGTTCACGCTGGGAACATTTGCAACGGGGGAGGCAATAACAACACGCAGGGTGATCCAAGTGCAGATGCCCCACTCATACCTACACCCCCCCCCCCCTCCCAACGCCATCCCACAATATTTTTTCAGACCGCAGGAATCCGATGAGCTATGAAGCTCTTCTTCGCAGATCTCCAGCCGTTCCACAGATGTCCTATCCTAGCAACCCCCCCACCTCCTCCCCGTAGCTTTCCTCTCAGCAGCAAAGTGAATATCGTGCAAGCGATGGCTCGGGGCTACGGTACTGAGCCAGAGGTCGCAAACGGGTTTTGATTCCTTACCCGTACCCGGCCGCACCAGCGTCGTAAACAGATACCCGTACCCGGTATCGGGTACCTGATTGCGACCTCTGGGGTGAAGCCATGTTGCAGGCGCGGGTGGGTTGATTCTAGGAACTTGAATTGTGAGAAGAGACAAGACGTTGGGAAATGAGTGACAGTTACTCACCAGTGACTCATGGTCTACCTGTACCCGGCTGCACCAAGGTCGCAAACGGCTACCCGTACCCGGCCGGGTATCGGGTAGGGTACGGGTATCGGGTACCCGGTTGCGACCTCTGGACTGAGTGTTCGGAGATTTGTGAGTGGATGCCACCTTCGTCAACAGCCGCGGTTCAGTCTACCGCTGGATGGGTGCGTACTGTACGTACTCTACGTACGTCGCACGGGGCAGGGCTACGAGACGGCAAGCGGTGCGCATGGAGACCGGCGGGAGACGTGCAGACTGGGGTGTCTGTAGGTGGATCGCCCTGCGGTGCCCCCCTCTAGGGTAACAACAGTGCAGCTCTGCACGGGAAACTCTGCACACTCACACACACAGGGACCCCCAGGTGATGGGGGTGGGGGGGGGGACGTCCAGTGGTTGGGACCTAGAACTCCGCACTTGCAATCGAGGGGTGGCCGGGTCGGCTTAATCTCCCACCCCCCACAGAGTGTGAGGCAGGTGTAGGAGGATCCGTAGGTTTCCGTGTTCACATTCAAAATCAGTTTCAAGAGTGGCACAGCCTCGGCTAGTCACGTGGCCTGTTGTTTAAAATTAATTCACAGCTCGGCGCTGTGCGCGTTTTGCTCAGGATGGATGACTTTTCTGTTTCCACGGGAATGAGAAAATGCATTCTGGCCGGTGTGTGTTCTCTGGTGCCATCGAAGACTGGATGGGTCTGCAAACGCCTTCTCACACACGGTGCACTTGAACGGCTTCTCTCCCGTGTGTGTTCTCTGGTGCCTGTGAAGATGTGATAGCTGTGCAAACGCCTTCTCACACACAGTGCACTTGAACGGCTTCTCTCCCGTGTGTGTTCTCTGGTGCCTGTGAAGATGTGATAGCTGTGCAAACGCCTTCTCACACACAGTGCACTTGAACGGCTTCTCTCCCGTGTGTGTTCTCTGGTGCCTGTGAAGATGTTGTAAATGTGCAAATGCCTTCTCACACACGGTGCACTTGAATGGCTTCTCTCCCGTGTGTGTTCTCTGGTGACTGTGAAGATTTGCTAGCCTTGCAAACGCCTTCTCACACACGGTGCACTTGAACGGCTTCTCTCCCGTGTGTGTTCTCTGGTGGCTGTGAAGAGTTCCTAATTGTGAAAACGACTTCTCACACACGGTGCACTTGAACGGCTTCTCTCCCGTGTGTGTTCTCTGGTGGCTGTGAAGATGTTGTAAATGTGCAAACGCCTTCTCACACACGGTGCACTTGAACGGCTTCTCTCCCGTGTGTGTTCTCTGGTGGCTGTGAAGAGTTCCTAATTGTGAAAACGACTTCTCACACACGGTGCACTTGAACGGCTTCTCTCCCGTGTGTGTTCTCTGGTGCTTCTTCAAGCTACACTTGTAGTCCGTGCTGAATGAACATTGGTCACACTGATGACTTTTGTTACTGGGCTTAGTGGGGTGTCTCCTCTGCACGTGATGTTGTAGACTAGAGCGGCAGATGAACTGACGGTTGCAGGCAGGACACGGCAGCCTTGTGACCTCCACACCCACTCCACCTGCGTCATCCCAGAGGAACAAGACACACGCGCACACACCAACATCTAGACATGAACACTCTTGCACACGTGTGTGTATACACAAAGGTAAAGGTTTCCCACAGCCATATCAGACTGTTGGGCAAGTGCTGTTTGCGAGTACCTATGAAGGCCGGCATGGCACACGAGGGAGTAGGTGGCCAACACTAGGCCCGACCGCCTTTGTCTCTCCAGTGGCGATGTTTCCACGTTTAAGCTAGGTACTCATTTGAGGCTGAGTCAACCTAGGGGAGGCCTAAATATTCACCACTGACGTTGGCCGTGAGTGGGAATCAAACTCAGGTGGCCAGGTTCGTAGTGCAGTGGGCTCCATTATATATACACACAAAGACAAAGAACCCCCATATAGCCTGTATATACTTTTGGGACAAGTGCTGTTATGGGCACCAATGAAAGCCAACACGGCACACGAGTGGGAGGGTGGCCAGCACCACACATAGCCGCCTTTGTCTCCCCAGTGGCGATGTTTACTACTACACACCACACCAGTTACTCACTTCCACCTTATCAGTGTGGCTGGTGCCTATCATCTCTGGTGAGTGGTGGCTGTCATCTCTGGTGAGTGGTGGCTACCAACTCTGGTGAGATGTGGCTATCATCTCTGGTGAGTGGTGGCTATCATCTCTAGTGAGTGGTGGCTATCATCTCTGGTGAGTGGTAGCTACATCCACATCTCTGGTGAGATGTGGCTATCATCTCTGGTGAGTGGTAGCTATCATCTCTACTGAGTGGTGGCTATCGTCTCTGGTGAGTAGTGGCTATCGTCTCTCGTAAGTGGTGGCTGCCATCTCTGGTGAGTGGTGGCTATCATTTCTGGTGTGTGGTGGCTATCATCTCTGGTGAGTGGTGGCTATCATCTCTGGTGAGTGGTGGCTATCGTCTCTCGTGAGTGGTGGCTATCATCTCTGGTGAGTGGTGGCTATAGTCTGGTGAGCAGTGGTGAGTCTCTGGTGAGCGGTGCTCACGGTGTTCCTCGCTTGGTGGAGGCTGCACGGGCTGCAGGTCTCTGGCGGTGGCCCTAGGAGCCATCTCGCTGCTGCTGCTGCGGCGTCGCGAGGGCCCGGCCTCGCAGGCGATGCCCAGCTCCTGGGCGAACTCCTCGCCGTACCAGACCAGCAGCTCAGAGCCGGGCCCCACGGCACGGAATGTGCGGTAGTAAATCTGCCCCCGGTGCTGGAAGGCCACCAGGTTCTGCTCCTGCTCATTCCTCGCGCAGTTGACGAACCTGCGCGGGCAGACGCGGGGGCGGGGTGGGCGCCGTTAGCGAGCGCCTATTAAGGGCCGGCACTGGGCGCTACGTGGGGGTGGTGTGGCTGGAACCACGCTCCGTACCGGGTGCTCATTTGATGCCGAGTCGACCAAGGGGAGGCCCAGAGTTGGTCTCTGTGTGTAGTGGGTCTGGTCTCTGTGTGTAGTGGTTCTTGTCTCTGTGTGTGGTGGTTCTGGTCTCTATGTGTGGTGGTTCTGGTTTCTGTGTGTGGTGGTTCTGGTCTCTGTGTGTGGTGGTTCTGGTCTCTGTGTGTAGTGGTTCTGGTCTCTGTGTGTGCTGGTTCTTGTCTCTGTGTGTAGTGGTTCTGGTCTCTGTGTGTGCTGGTTCTGGTCTCTGTGTGTAGTGGTTCTGGTCTCTGTGTGTGGTGTTTCTGGTCTCTGTGTGTAGTGGTTCTGGTCTGTGTGTGCTGGTTCTTGTCTCTGTGTGTGGTGGTTCTGGTCTCTGTGTGTAGTGGTTCTGGTTTCTGTGTGTAGTGGTTCTGGTCTATGTGTGTAGTGGTTCTGGTCTCTGTGTGTAGTGGTTCTGATCTCTGTGTGTAGTGGTTCTGGTTTCTGTGTGAAGTGGTTCTTGTCTCTGTGTGTGGTGGTTCTGGTCTCTGTGTGTAGTGGTTCTGGTTTCTGTGTGAAGTGGTTCTTGTCTCTGTGTGTAGTGGTTCTGGTCTCTGTGTGTAGTGGTTCTGGTCTCTGTGTGTAGTGGTTCTGGTCTCTGTGTGTAGTGGTTCTGGTCTCTGCGTGTAGTGGTTCTGGTCTCTGTGTGTGGTGGTTCTGGTCTCTGTGTGTAGTGGTTCTGATCTCTGTGTAGTGGTCCTTCAGACAATAATCACCTCATCCAGTTTGATTTAGATTCATCCTGAGCATCAACATATTCACAATCCTTTTTGTTTTTGTAAATCTGAAACACACACGCACACGAGCGGATCCACGGATAATTAATGTCAGTTGGACTGTAAGTTGAACTTCTTTCGTACCGCACGTAGCCAACCGTGCTGATCGGAGGTGCGGGGGAAGGACAACAAACTAAACACTAAAAGCAGTTCTAAAGAAATGCATTTTCAATCTACAAGATTTTAAAGTGCATAGCTCCCAGTGGCTTCCTAACATTGGAAGGAAGAACCTTCCAGACGGCCGCAGAAGTGCATCTGTAAGCGCCGCGCCATGCGGTGACCACCGTCTTTGCTGTGTGTTACAAGTTCAAATAATTACGTTAATTTTTGGGTCTCTCTGTGATTCTGGGGGTCTTTGGGTGAGTCTCTAGGTCTCTGTACGAGTCTCTGGGTCTCTGTGCGAGTCTCTAGGGTATCTGTGCGACTCTGGGTCTCTGTGTGAGACTGTGGGTCTCTGTGCGATTCTCTTGGTCTCTGTGCGAGTCTCTGGGTCTCTGTGTGAGACTGTGGATCTCTCTGTGCGATTCTCTGAGCATCTGTGTGAGTATCTGGGTCTCTCTGTGTGAGTCTCTGGGTCTCTGTGTGAGTCTGTGTGTCCCACTGTGAGTCTCTGGGTCTCTGTTCAAGTCTCTAGGTCTCTGTGCAAGTCTGTGGGTCTCTGTGTGAGTCTGTGGGTGACTGTGTGAGGCTATGGGTCTCTGTGCGAGTCTATGGGTCTCTGTGTGAATCTATGGGTCTCTGTGCGAGTCTATAGGTCTCTGTGCGAGTCTATGGGTCTCTGTGCGAGTCTATGGGTCTCTGTGTGAGTCTATGGGTTTCTGTGCGAGTCTATGGGTCTCTGTGTGAGTCTATGGGTCTCTGTGAGTCTCTGGGTCTCTCTGTGCCAGTCTCTAGATCTCTGTGTAAGTCTGTGGGTGACTGTGTGAGGCTATGGGTTTCTCTGCATCTCCTTCACGAGCCTCCTCTCCACACACACGATGATGATGTAGGAATAGGAGGAGGCTGCAGCAGTAGCAGCAGCAGCTCACCAGCCAGCAGTACTCGCTCACGGGGTTCTCCTCAGACACCTCTCCCTGGTAGGGCCCAAACATCACCCCCTTGGGCAGCTTCTTCCTGTTGCTCCACACCCCGAGGCCGGCGCCGGCGATGGAGGAGGCGCCGACGGTGAGGCCCTGGGGCAGGCTGAGCCGGGCCCTGTTGGCCACTCCCGGGGCCACGGCCGCGTCCGCGATGAACTCTGGCGGGCCGTGCACGGAGCACTCCGCCAGGTAGAAATCCCTGCACAGCTCGCAGACTGAGAGCCACAGCAGCAGCAGCGGGAGGAGGGCGAACCGCAGTAGCAACAGCAGCAGCAGTGGCACTGTGAGAGGGTGAGAGGGTGAGGAGCGCTCCAGACAGATGCCTCCCTCCCTCTCTGCATGGTGAACTTCTTTAGCTCGCTCATCGGAGATGTAAACCCTGTCACCCTCCCTGCTCCCTCCCTGCATCCCTGAGTGAGGGAGCAAAAGACAGGGAGGTAAGTGAGAGTGCGAGAAAGGGAGCGTGTGAGAGGGAGGGAAAGGGAGAGAGAGTGAGAGGGAGCAGGTGGAATATATCGAGTGAGAGCGCGGGAGCAATAGAGAGAGATAGGAGAGAGTGTGAGAAAGTTAGAGTAAGGGGCCGTCCATAAATGACGTCACGCACCGGGGAGGGGGGGGGGTCAGACATTTGTGACGATGTGTGAGGAACCACAGACAACACGTTCTACTTAATTAAATACTTTTTAATAAATGTTTTCTCCTACAACATCAGACTGCAGTGCCACATTAAATATGCACTACAATGACAATAGTTTGAAGCGATTTTAAGCATATTAAATGAGCTTTGTGACGTCACATTTGAGGGGGGAGTCTGACTTTTTGTGATGTCGTGTGATGGGGGGGAGGGGGGTCCAAAATCGCGTGACGCCATTAATGGACGGCCCTAAGAGAGTGTGAGAAAGTGACAGTGTGAGAGAGAGAGTGAGAAAGTGACATTGTGAGAGAGAGAGTGAGAAAGTGAGAGAGAGAGTGAGAGAGTGAGAGAGAGTGAGAGGGAGCAGGGGGTCTCACAGAAGAAGTCGTCGTCCTGGGGCTCCTCCACCTCTGTGTAGACTTTCCTCTCGCGCGGGCGCAGGCCGTAGCGAGAGCGAGCGCTGCGCGACACCGCCACAGCCTGGGCGGAGGCCGGCGGCACGGAGGAGCCTGCAGGCAAACACGGCGAGATGTTGACTACCTCTCCTGGTATACGGGAGGTCGCAGATTCCATCCCGACCCTGACGAAGCCTGCTGTATATTTGGAGTCTTCGTGTCTCTCTCTCCTCTGTGGCGAGATGTTAACTCCCTCGCCTGGAATACAGGAGGTCGTGGGTGCGATCCCGACCCTGACGACCCACGCTGTATATTTGGAGTTTGCGTGTTGAACCTCCCCGTGGTTGCGTGGATTTTTCTCCGGGTCCTCCGGTTTTTCCCCTCGACATTTAGAATCAACGTCACGTGTTGAGAGTATTTGGCTGCTGTAAATGTCCACGTAATGATGATGATGACAAGTTACTTCGTTGAGCTCTCATTTGTGATAGCCAGGTCGCTTCTGAAAAACAGTTACACAGCTCAGTGGGGCTTACCCTGGTAAAATAAACATCGTTTAGTTCATAGGCTGCATCAGTACCAGCAGCAGCCCTGACAGGAGCACATGTAGCAGTAGCATCAACAGCAGTGGCGACTTCCATCAGCAGCAACAGAAGATTGCGGAGTTCCGGTGAGAATAGAGGGGAGTGTGGAGTTCCGGTGAGAATAGAGGGGAGTGTGGAGTTCCGGTGAGAATAGAGGGGAGTGTGGAGTTCCGGAGAATAGAGGGGAGTGTGGAGTTCCGGTGAGAATAGAGGGGAGTGTGGAGTTCCGGTGAGAATAGAGGGGAGTGTGGAGTTCCGGTGGGAATAGAGGGGAGTGTGGAGTTCCGGTGAGAATAGAGGGGAGTGTGGAGTTCCGGTGGGAATAGAGGGGAGTGTGGAGTTCCGGTGAGAATAGAGGGGAGTGTGGAGCTCCGGTGAGAATAGAGGGGAGTGTGGAGTTCCGGTGAGAATAGAGGGGAGTGTAGAGTTCCGGTGGGAATAGAGGGGAGTGTGGAGTTCCGGTGAGAATAGAGGGGAGTGTGGAGTTGCGGTGTGAATAGAAATCACCGCTGCAGGCTACGCACCTCCACGTATCCTCTGGAGCGCCACCCTCAGGGCCTCCTTGCAGGCGGTAGCTCTGCGCTCCAGCCTGAACATCGCCATCCTGGCCTTGTGCACCTCCCTCAGCTCAAATCCCCTGAACTCCTCCTCCTCCTGCTGCTGCTCCTCCTCCATGCCCTGCAGGATGCTCCACACGTACTCCAGGGCTTCCGCTTTAGTCTGAGCGGAGGGGGCGGTGGGGTGAGGGGGCGGAGGGGGTGTGGGGGGCGGAGTTGGTGCAGTGACCAGCGGTGGCTAGGAGATGTTAACTCCCTCGCCTGGTACGCAGGAGGTCGCGGGTTCGATCTCGAGCCTGACACCTCATCGGATTCCTCCAGTACAATACATATTCTAATTCTGATATTCTGATTCTGTAAATCTGATTCCATACATCAAGCAGAACCATGCCGTCATGCTGAACCTCGGTGGGTATGGCAGGCCAAGCCTCTTCACAACTAAACTAATTAATAAACTAATTATAATAATAAGCCCAAACGTTGTACCAGAGTGCCATGCAGAGGGGGCATGGTGGCTAGGAGATGTTAACAACCTCGCCTGGTACGCAGGAGGTCATGGGTTCGATCCTGACCCTGACGCCTGCTGCTGTATATTTGGAGTCTTCGTCTTTTTTTTCTCTCTCCCCGTGGTGAGGCGAGTTAGGGGAGGCACAGCCTCACCTGTTATACTCCAATGGAAATAGCTGTTACGAAAAGTACAAAGTAAAAAGTTAACCCATAAAAACAAAGTTTTTCACTATAAATCCTTTATATGCATGGCGGCTAGAGTCCTCTCGTCCTCTGGTTTGAGATGGCTGCCACCTATGGGTCAGATGATTGCCTGCCACCATTAAGCAATTGGTAATTAAATATAAAAAAAAATTCCTAAAAAGTGTAAAGTTATGGAAAAAAATTTTCACGAAAATAAATTGTCACGCGCAACGAGTCTGTGTGCAAAATGTCAGCTCGATTGGATCACGGGAAGTGGGTTAAAAAACGACCGAAAGATTTGCACGGTCGTAAGCGCGCAAGCAAGCAAGCAAGTGAACTTAATATAAAGGATTAAAAAATTTAGATTTTTCCACTGATCTGTGTTACGTCATTTCTGTACGATTCCAATCATTTTGACAGTCAAAATCGCCAAATTTGCGGCGCTCCGCTGCAAATACAGGGAGACGAGAGGTGAGGCAGCGACAAGCTCAGCCTCCCCTCTGATTGCGCAACCCCTCAGAAACTGGATGGAGCGCGGGCAATAAGCGCGTGCCTGTTACTATCTCTCTGTAATGATTGGAATTATACAGAAATTACATTTATAACACAAATCAGTGGAACATTTTTTTCACTTTCGTAAGGGGCCGTCCATAAATGACGTCACGCACCTGGGGGGGAGGGGGGGTCAGACGTTTGTGACGATGTGTGACGAGGGGGGGGGGGGTTGAGAAATGTGACGTCACATCAAAATGCACAACTTTAAATAAATATAGACAACACGTTCTACTTAATTATTTCGACTTTTAAATAAATGTTTTCTCCTACAACATCAGAGTGCAGCGCCACATTAAATACGCACTACAATGACAATAGTTTAAAGCGATTTGAAGCACGTTTTTTTTATTTTGGGGGTGGGGGCAGAGCTTTGTGACGTCATATTTGAGGGGGGGTCTGACTTTTTGTGACGCCGTGTGACGAGGGGGGGAGGGGGTCAAAAATCGTCAAAAATCACGTGACGTCATTTATGGACGGCCCCTAACAGCTATTTTCATTGGAGTATATGACAGGTGAGGCTCTGCCTCGCCTGCCTCCCCTGACTGCACGTCCCTGGTATAGCAGTGTCTAGTAGTATGTATGTACGTTGGATTTCTTTGTCACCGTACGTAGCCAACCTCGCTAATGGGAGGTGCGGGGGAAGGACAACAAACTAAAGACAACAGCAGCAGCAGATGTAACGAGAGGAGTGCCGTGCGCTGTGCACAGAGACCTTGCGCTTGCTGGGAGCTGCCCTCGCGTGAGACTCTCCCACGGTGGCCCAGCGTGAAGCAGCCCCCTTGCCTCCTCCTGCGTGAACACACGCACACACGTGAACACACGCACACACGTGAACACACGCACACACGTGAACACACGTGTGAACACACGGACACGCATGAACATATGCAAGGACAAAGCTCCCCCGTATAGCCTTAACAGACTGTAGGGGCAAGTGCTGTTAGTGAGCACCTATGAAGGCCAGAACGGTACACGAGGGGGTGGGTGGCCAGCACCACGCCCGACCGTCTTTGTCTCCCCAGTGGTGATGTTTACACACCGCACCAGGTACTCAGTTGAGGCTGAGCCGACATAGGGGAGGCACAGGACCGGTTCAAATAATCGTCACTGGTGTTGACCGTGAGCGGGAATCGAACCCGGGTCGCCGGGTTCATAGCGCAGCGCGCTAACCGCTACACTACCGCTCCCCATATGCACACGCGTTAACACACGCACACACGTGTGAACACACGGAAATGCATTAACACACACACACACACGTGTGAACACACCCACACGCGTATTTACGCATGCAAACATTTACTCACATATTTACCAAAAAGTCAATGATCTCCCCTGTGCCGCCTTAACAGACTGTTGTCACAGGACAGAACCAAGTGCCATGCCATGGGTTGACTGTTGTGCCAGGCTAGGTGCAGAAGGTCACGAGACGGACCCTGCAGGTGCCATAGGTTTACTGAGATGACTGCCAGATGCACCACCTGTGCCCGCGACTGTGCCAACTCGGTCCACAATTAAAAAGATGCCCCGTGTAGCCTTCACAGACTGTTGCGGTCAAGTGCTGTCAGCAAGCAGCATCTACGAAGGCCAGCACGGCACACGGGGGGATGGGCAGCTAGCAACACGCCCGACCGTCTTTGTCTCCCCGGTTGTGATGTTTACTACACACCACTGCACCGGGTACTCATTTTGACGCTGAGTCAACCTAGGGGAGGCTCGGGACCAGTTCGGATCGTCGTCACTGGTGTTGGCCGTGAGCGGGCATTTAACTTGGTTCCGCTGGTGATTACAACCAGCTTCATCAAGCGAGTCTACAGGGGTCTCTGCGTGAGTCTACAGGGGGTCTCTGTGTGAGTCTACAGGGGTCTCTGCGTGAGTCTACAGGGGGTCTCTGTGAGTCTACAGGGGTCTCTGTGTGAGTCTACAGGGGTCTTTGTGTGAGTCTTCAGGGGGTCTCTGTGTGAGTCTACAGAGGGTTTCTGTGTGAGTCTACAGGGGTCTCTGCGTGAGTCTACAGGGGGTCTCTGTGTGAGTCTACAGGGGGTTTCTGTGTGAGTCTACAGGGGGTCTCTGTGTGAGTCTACAGGGGGTCTCTGTGTGAGTCTACAGGGGTCTATGTGAGTCTACAGGGGGTCTCTGTGCGAGTCTACAGGGGTCTCTGCGTGAGTCTACAGGGGGTCTCTGTGTGAGTCTACAGGGGGTCTCTGCGTGAGTCTACAGGGGATCTCTGCATGAGTCTACAGGGGGTCTCTGCGTGAGTCTACAGGGGTCTCTGTGTGAGTCTACAGGGGTCTCTGCGTGAGTCTACAGGGGTCTCTGTGTGAGTCTACAGGGGGTCTCTGCATGAGTCTACAGGGGGTTTCTGTGTGAGTCTACAGGGGTCTCTGCGTGAGTCTATAGGGGGTCTCTGTGTGAGTCTACAGGGGGTTTCTGTGTGAGTCTACAGGGGTCTCTGTGTGAGTCTACAGGGGGTCTCTGTGTGAGTCTACAGGGGTCTGTGTGAGTCTACAGGGGGTCTCTGTGTGAGTCTACAGGGGGTCTCTGTGTGAGTCTACAGGGGGTCTCTGTGTGAGTCTACAGGGGGTCTCTGTGTGAGTCTACAGGGGGTCTCTGTGTGAGTCTACAGGGGGTCTCTGCGTGAGTCTACAGGGGGTCTCTGCGTGAGTCTACAGAGGGTCTCTGTGTGAGTCTACAGGGGGTCTCTGTGTTAGTCTACAGGGGGTATCTGTGTGAGTCTATAGGGGTCTCTGCGTGAGTCTACAGGGGGTCTCTGCGTGAGTCTACAGGGGGTCTCTGCGTGAGTCTACAGGGGGTCTCTGTGTGAGTCTACAGGGGGTCTCTGTGTGAGTCTACAGGGGTCTCTGTGTGAGTCTACAGGGGGTCTCTGCGTGAGTCTACAGGGGGTCTCTGTGTGAGTCTACAGGGGGTCTCTGCGTGAGTCGAGAGGGGGTCTCTGTGTGAGTCTACAGGGGTCTCTGTGTGAGTCTACAGGGGTCTCTGTGTGATTCTACACGGGGTCTCTTTGTGAGTCTTCAGGGGGTTTCTGCGTGAGTATACAGGGGGCCTCTGTGTGAGTCTACAGGGGTCTCTGTGTGAGTCTACAGGGGGTCTCTGTGTGAGTCTACAGGGGGTCTCTGCACGGTCTGCAAGCGCCCTTTTACGTTTGCCTCTTCGTCCTCCGTGCATCGCCACCTCCTTCCTCTTCCTCCTCCCCGTCCACTCCTCGTCGGAGTCGCTCGACCGCCCGCACTCCGCTCCATTCCCCCTCGCCCTGCGCTTGCCGCGTGCGCGCATGAACTCGGGCTGGGCCGGGTTCATCCCTGCGCAAGGAGGCAGTCGGTCATTGTTATTTGTACGTATTGGCAGTACACCCGTGCAGCATAGCAACACACCGGGTCCTCGTAACACAGTCCTGACGATGTGATTACTATCAGAGCGTGTTTGTTTGCGTGTTCAACACAAGTACGCGTGGTTAATGCAGTAACTTGATTCCTTGCAAAAAGGAATCATCTATTTGGTGTGTGAACATCTTAACAGCTCCTGTTTTATTGCCAGAAAGGGTAAAACCGATTCCTATTTTTTATACTTTGATTCTGGCAAAAAGGTCCAATGATATAGCTACTCACCCCGAGCTATAAATGCTCTTGACACTGCATTGTCTTTGTACTGGTCGCCTTTTGGTGTTGTTCTCTGGTCTGACACTGGTGAGACTAGGCCATGAAGAAGGCTGTCTCTGGGGTAGACCAATCAGTATCAAAGACAATGATTAAATGTTATCAGAGAGTGTTTGTTTGCGTGTTCAGTACACGTGGTTAATGCAGTAACCTGATTCCTTGCAAAAGCTATAATCTATCTGGTGTTTGAACATCTTAACACCTCCTGTTTCATTCCCATAAAGAGTAAAACCGATTCTTATTTTTCATAGTCCCGACGATGTCGCCGTTGCCCCTTGAGTGAGCTGCAGGACTCTCCATCAGAAGTTGCACTCAGATTCAGCAGCCGCGTCCCCCATTCCGAACGTGCGGTGGCGACACCACGAGTCGTATCGAGGCACCGTCCGACCGAGTCTCTAGGGGCACGAGGAGTCCAATCTTGCCACTGGAGCACGGAGCAGCCGATCGTCATCAGACTGGGCGCCGCTGTACGGCAACAGACTGCGAAGCTTCGTGTTCAGTGCTGCTCATGTCACGTTCCGTCTTCCCACCGCTTTGGCATCACGACAACTGATTTTGACGCACCACCACCACCCCAAAATATCCTTCTGTCTGGGGTCTCGAATCGCGAAGAAATAAATAACTTTTGCCAAAAATGTGATGATTATTTCATACAGCGCAACGGTGTACCGCTACTACGTTCATTTATATTATTTGGCTGCTACAATAACCCCAAGCAATACAGTAAACACGATAGGAGTGCAAAGTATAGAAAAGGTAAACAAATTACACACACACAAAATACATTTTTTTGTAAATATTCTTTGGTTCTTTCGGCAAAGTCACGTAGATAGAAAAATAAAGTGAATAAAAATAATCAAAAACCACAAAAACGTTCATCCTCACTGATGTTGCTGACTGGTATCTTAGCGCTTTTGAGGGTTGCAGCAATTTCAGATCTTGTAACGTCTGCAGCGATGCGCCCCAAACCCTTAAGAGCGACATCGACCTGGGCAATAACGTCATCCACTGGAATGTGTTTGGGGGTGACTGAGAAGTTCAACCCTTTAGCCAAAACCGACTTTAGACCATCGCACATTGGGCTATTACTCAGATTAATAACAACCTTGTCAACGTCTAACCTTTTAACGTGTGGATCTGGTTTCTTGTTAGAAAGGAGGTTGAACTCGAAAATCAGATCTTTACATTTCGCTGACATTGTAGTGGCTGATTAAGTGGTCATGTTATCTACATGTTCCCAATCAGATGTCGACATTTTTCCTGTCAATGTTAAGTGTGATTTCAAGAGTGTCTTGTCTACATGATCTAGTTCAGTATGGAGCAGTCTAATTCTCCCTGAGATCAGGGCCAAGCTCGCCCTGAACAAAATTCGTCTGGCATTGGAAGATGTGACTGCAGCAGAAATCAGTGTCAATGAGATCGGTATTACGTTAGAGTCACGGCATCTCTTCAGAAATGTGAGTGACTCGATCAGATGAACTTTCTTGTCACGGAGATTGTTAAAAGATCTCATGGTTATGTGGAAACCCTCCCAATAGAGGCAGTTCAAATGATACAAATTAAGTGAATAAAAAATTATAAAAATAAGACACTATCTTCTTGTTTCTTTCGGTAAAGTCACGTAGAAGGGAAGTAATAAAATAATAAAAATAAAACATAATAAAACAATTCTCACGACGTTTCGGCTACAACGCAAGCAGCCGTCTTCAGGTGAAGAATGAGACACTACCAAACTAGGAGCTTATATATATCACCTGAAGACGGCTGCTTGCGTTGTAGCCGAAACGTCGTGAGAATTGTTTTATTATGTTTTATTTTTATTATTTTATTACTTCCCTTCTACGTGACTTTACCGAAAGAAACAAGAAGATGAATCCCTGCAGTCACGAAAGCTTTAAATCGAAATAAGACACTAATTAGGCTGCTCCATAAAAAAAACACTAATGTATACATTTCAATTTAAAGCTTTCGTGACTGCAGGGATTCATCTTCTTGGTTCTTTCGGTAAAGTCACGTAGAAGGGAAATAATAAAATATTAAAAAGAAAACATTAAAATTGTATTTTAATAATTGTATTTTATGTTTTTTTCCCTTCTATGTGACTTTACCGAAAGAACCAAGAAGACTAATTTATAACTCAAAAGTTTTGATTATACATGAGTGCTTTATCATTTTTATTATTCACTTTATTTTTATTTTAGTTTTTCTATCTACGTCACTTTATCGAAAGAACCAAAGAATATGAATTCCTGCAGTCACGAAAGTTTTAAGTCAAAATAAACTATTTTTGTAAATGTTGTGGGTTTACTCTCCAACATTATGAATCCGTAGGTAAAAAATACAATTTAAATTAATAAAAGTACTTTTATAAATTTTAATTTTACTTTGATTAATTTTAATTTTATTTTTTACCTACGTGACTAGAATTATGAATCCGATGAGCTATGAAGCTCTTTTTCATAGATGTCCCATAGGGGGCACGGGGTCAGAAAGTTACAACACAAAACACAAACACGATAGGCGTGCAAAGTAGAGTAAAGGTAAACAAATCATTAAACTAAAACTAAATCTATTTTTACTTCACCAGGTGAAGTCCACTGAGCTATTGGCTCCTTCTTCAGAAGCGACCTGGCTGCCACAAATGACAGCTCAACCAAGTGGCTTACCACGTGGACATTTATAGCAGCAGACAAATACTCTAAACGCGTGATGTTGATGCTACAAGTGGAGCAAAAACCCGGAGGACCGGGATCTAACCCACGACCTCCTGTAGACCATGAGAGGTAGTTAACATCTCACCGGGGAGAGACACACGCAGACTCCAGATATATGACAGGCATCGTCAGGGTCACCATCGAACCCACGACCTCCTGTAGACCAGGCGAGGTAGTTAACATCTCGCCACCATGGCGCCCCATGCATGCCACTCTGCTACGACGTCTTGGTCTCATCATTATAATCACTGCGACAATTAGTTGAGTTGCGAAGAGGCTCGGCCTGCCGTACCCACCAAGGTTCAGCAGGACGGCGTGGTTCTGCTTGATGTTCCTGTAGCGCCGCTTCTCGCACTCGGCCAGATCGCTCCACTCGGCCTTGGTGAAGAAGCCTCTGATGTCTCGGAAGTCGCCCATCTCCTGCTGCTGCTGCTGCTGAGGCGCAGAGACACGGAGGGACGAGACGCGGACGACGGTCAGACGCAGTCACGGAGATGGAGTCACATGGAGACGGAGTCACAGGGAGACGGAGTCACAGGGAGACGGAGTCACAGGGAGACGGAGTCACAGGGAGACGGAGTCACAGGGAGACGGAGTCACAGGGAGACGGAGTCACAGGGAGACGGAGTCACAGGGAGACGGAGTCACAGGGAGACGGAGTCACAGGGAGACGGAGTCACAGGGAGACAGAGTCACAGGGAGACAGAGTCACAGGGAGACAGAGTCACAGGGAGACAGAGTCACAGGGAGACAGAGTCACAGGGAGACAGAGTCACAGGGAGACAGAGTCACAGGGAGACAGAGTCACAGGGAGACAGAGTCACAGGGAGACAGAGTCACAGGGAGACAGAGTCACAGGGAGACAGAGTCACAGGGAGACAGAGTCACAGGGAGACAGAGTCACAGGGAGACAGAGTCACACTGAGACAGAGTCACACGGAGACAGAGTCACACGGAGACAGAGTCACACGGAGACAGAGTCACACGGAGACAGTCACACTGAGACAGAGTCACAGGGAGACAGAGTCACACTGAGACAGAGTCACACGGAGACAGTCACACTGAGACAGAGTCACACGGAGACAGAGTCACACTGAGACAGAGTCACACGGAGACAGAGTCACAGGGATACGAGACTAAGATCCCCCGTGTGGCCTTAACAGACTGTCGGGTCAAGCGCTGTGAGCGAGTAGCGGCGCCTATGAAGGCCGGAACGACACACGAGGGGGTGGGTGGCCAGCACCACGCCCGGCCGCCTTTGTCTCCCCAGTGGCGATGTTCACTACACACCGCTACCACCAGGAACTCATTTGAGGCTGAGTCGACCTAGGGGATGAGGCCCTTAGGTGAGGTAACTTTACCTCAGATGAGGTAACTTCACTTCATGCGAGGTAAGGTTACCTTAGGTGAAGTAGAATTACTTCAGGTGAAGTAACTTTACCTTAGGCAGAGGTCACAGAACCCCACGTTAATTTAATTGACCTCAGGTGAGGTAACTTTACCCTAAGTGAGGTAAATTTACCTCAGGTGACGTAATTTTACCTTCGGCGAGGTAACACTATCTGAGGTGAAGTACTTCACCTCAGGGAGAGGAAACATTACCCCAGGTTAGTTAATTTTACCTCAGGCGAGGTATCTTTACCTCAGATAGAGGTAACTTGACCTTAAGCGAGGTAACATTACCTCAGGTAAATGTAACATTACTTGAGGTAATCCGAACGTATTCACATCACTTCAGCTAATGCTCATATTTTTACGCTAATATCGTAATATCGTCACGTGGTTAAATCGTTAAACACAACGCTCGCGTGACGTCACCACCTCAGTGTCGAGCCGTCGACACTTCACGCGGCAGCCTCGAAGTGCACCCAGCCTGGCACAGGCGCCGTGGTGACGTCACCGTCACTCAGTGGCCAATGGCGGCGATTGGCGGTGGTGGGAGGGGAGTGGGGGGGATAGGAGTTGGGGGTGAGTGGGAGGGACGAGGGGGTGGGGGGAGTGGCGGGGAGTGAGGGGGAGTGAGTGGGGGAGACGAGGGGGTGGGGGCGGAATGGCGGTTGGGGAAGTGGGAGGAGGGGGGAGTGGGGGGTGGGAGGGGAGGAAGGGGTGGGGGGGAGAGTGATGGGGTAGGGGGAGTGGTGGGGAGAGTGAGGGGGGGTGATGGAGTGGGTGAGTGGCGGGGAGTGGGGGGTGGGGGGTGTAATGGGGTGGGGGGAGTGGGGGGGGTTATTATGAAGTCGCAAAAGTTGCTACAAATGCTACGGGCCCCGCACTTTCAAGGGCCCCGTGCTAAATGCTTTCAAGATATCAATTCGGGTTAAGTGATTCTGCACTTGCTCTATTACTATAGTACTATACAGACTTCAACTTTTTTTTTATGAACGACTGGGTGTTTAAGGTTAGCGATTAGTCGTATTATCCGGCTGTATAGCAAATGAAAAAATACAAATACTTTACTGTGCAAGTAAAAAATGTGTTTTAATGTTTACGTTTAAAAAAAAATAATTGGGCCCCTTTATAGCACATGCTACAGGCCCCGAACTAACTTTATCCGGCACTGAGGGTAAGGTAATCAGAATGTGATGCAATCCGGATCAAATCACGTTATATTATAAGGTAATCTTCGCCGCGACATTCTCATTCAGTGCAAAGTAAATCTTGTACAATTAATTAGTCGCTCGTGTCAACACTGTACGAGATGTGTAGCTGTAATCGTAACGTGAAGTCGTCTCGTAGCGTAAATCTTACACGATTTAAAATTCGCGTGAGATAGAATCCTCACTTGACTACTGGTAGGAACCTCCTGGTTACACCAGCCCACAGGGGATTATTGTGTCCGTCCGTCCGTCGTGTAGGGAGGGGCTGGGTGGGGAGGGAGGGGCTGGGTGGGGAGGGTGGGGTGGGGCTGGGTGGGGAGGGTGGGGATGGTTGGGGGAGGGGAGGGGCTGGGTGGGGGAGGGTGGGGCTGGGTGGGGAGGGTGGGGTGGGGCTGGGTGGGGAGGGAGGGGCTGGGTGGGGAGGGAGGGGCTGGGTGGGGAGGGTGGGGCTGGGGTGGGGAGGGTGGGGTGGGGCTGGGGGTGGGAGGGTGGGGAGGGGGGGATGGAGGGGCTGGTGGGGCTGGGTGGGGAGGGAGGGGCTGGGTGGGGAGGGTGGGGCTGGGTGGGGAGGGTGGGGCTTGGGTGGGTGGGGTGGGGATGGGTGGGGAGGGGTGGGGAGGGAGGGGCCTGGGTGGGGGGTGGGAGGGAGGGGCTGGGTGGGGGTGGGAGGGGCTGGGTGGGGCTGAGTGGGGGGGGCTGGGTGGGGGGGTGGGGAGGGGCCTGGTCACCCCGTGGTTGCCCTTAGTAACCTCAGGTCGAGATAACATTACCTCAGGTGAGGTAACTTTACCTCAAATGAGGTAACTTTACCTCATGCGAGGTAACCATTACCTTAGGTGAGGTAAAATTACTTCAGGTAGAGGTAACATTACCTCAGGCGATGTAACTTTACTTCAGACGAAGTAATATAACGTTAGGCCGAGGTAACTTTACCTGCAGGCAGAGGTTAAGTTACCGTCAGGTAAGGTAACATTATCTCAAATGAGGTAACTTTACCTCAGCTGAGGTAACTTTATCTTAGGCGAAGTAAAATTACTTCAGGTGAGGAAACTTCACCTCAGGTAGAGGCAACATTACCCCAGGTTAGTTAACTTTACCTCAGGCGAGGTAACTTGACCTTAAGTGAGGTAACTTTACCTCACATAGAGGTAACATTACCTCAGGTAAATGTAACATTACTTGAGGTAATCCGAACGTATTCACATCACTTCAGCTAATGCCCATATCGTAATATTCTCACGTAGTTAAATCATTAAACACAATTATCGCGTGATTATTACCTCAGGGTTACATAATCGGAATTCAATGGAAGGCGAGGTAACTTTACCTCAAGCGATGTAATATAACGTTAGGTCGAGGTAACATTACCTCAGGCAAAGGTAAAATTACGTCAGGTAAGGTAACATTATCTCAAATGAGGTAACTTGACCTTAAGCGAGGTAACATCACCTCAGGTAAATGTAACATTACTTGAGGTAATCCGAACGTATTCACATCACTTGAGCTAATGCTCATATTTTTACGCTAATATCGTAATATCGTCACGTGGTTAAATCGTTAAACACAACGCTCGCGTGACGTCACCACCTCAGTGTCGAGCCGTCGACACTTCACGCGGCAGCCTCGAAGTGCACCCAGCCTGGCACAGGCGCCGTGGTGACGTCACCGTCACTCAGTGGCCAATGGCGGCGGTTGGTGGTGGTGGGGGGGAGTGGGGGGTGGGAGGTGGGGGGGAAAACGGGAGTGGGGGCGGAATGGCGGTTGGGGGTGTGGGGGGTGGGGAAGAGGGGGGAGGGGGACGAGGGGGTGGGGTGAGTGGGGGCGGAATGGCGGTTGGTGAGTGGTGGGAGGGGGGAATTGAGGGTGGGAGGGGTGGGGGGAGTGGGGGGTGGGAGGGGTGGGGGGAGGAGGGGGTGGGGGTGAGTGATGGGGTGGGGGGAGTGGGGGTGCGGGAAGTGGCGGGGAGTGAAGGGGGGTGATGGGGTGGGGGGAGTGGGGGGTGATGGGGTGGGGGGGTGATGGGGTGGGGGGGAGTGATAGGGTGGGGGGAGTGGGGGAGTGATGGGGTGGGGGGAGTGATGGGGTGGGGGGAGTGTGGGGGTGGGGGGGGTGATGGGGTGGGGGGAGTGGGTGGGGTTTTATACTGGAAGGAACGAAGTGGACCAGACACCAATAGATTAATGTGTCTGTCCGTCCGTCCGTCCATCCGTCCGTCAGTCTGACTGTCCATCCGTCCGTGTATCAACATCGCCCCTACTGCAAACACTTTGCATGACCCTACAAAAACCTTTAGACTCAGTTACGCCATCCTGGTAGCAACATCGCCCGTACTGCAAACACTTGGCATGACACGTGTAACATTCCCTTATTCCCTGAGATAGCTTTTAATTAAAACTTTGAAATTAAATAAAAAAAACTCACAGCGCCCTAAAGCCTACAGCTAGGCCTAAAGCCTAGAACTAGGCTCTGAAACTCTCCCTTCGTATCGTACCCCCGCGTGTGTGAAAGGGAGTTATGTTTAACAATGTTACATTCCCTCATGTTTTTAAATAGAAACATTTAAATTTAAAGCTTTTATATAAATCATTAAAACATTTAAATTAAAAATTAACTCACAGCGCCCTAAAGCCTACAGCTAGGCCTAAAGCCTAGAACTAGGCCTCAATCTCTCCCTTCGTATCGTCCGATTTGGTGTAGCAACATCGCCCCCTACTGCAAACACTTGGCAGGACCCTACAAAAACCTTTTGACTCAGTGGGGCTTAACAAGTGTAATAATAAACTTCGCTTCAAATTTACTTTACTGAAACGCAGCACGTTTTTTTAACACAGAGACAAGATACATTTATTAACACAGAGACAACATACATTTAATCGCCTTATTTGTGCACGAAAAGCACGGCGCGAGGCCTACTTCGGAAAAGGCTTCGCGAGGCCTACTGCAGAGAAGGCATCGCGAGGCCTACTGCAGAGAAGGCTTCGCGAGGCCTACTGCAGAGAAGGCATCGCGAGGCCTACTGCAGGGAAGGCTTCGCGAGGCCTACTGCAGAGAAGGCATCGCGAGGCCTACTGCAGAGAAGGCTTCGCGAGGCCTACTGCAGAGAAGGCATCGCGAGGCCTACTGCAGAGAAGGCAACGCGAGGCCTACTGCAGAGAAGGCTTCGCGAGGCCTACTGCAGAGAAGGCTTCGCGAGGCCTACTGCAGGGAAGGCTTCACGAAGCCTAGTGCAGAAGGCTGTCGCGAGGCCTACTGCAGGAGGCTTCGCGAGGCCTACTGCAGGGAAGGCATCGCGAGGCCTACTGCAGAGAAGGCTTCGCGAGGCCTACTGCAGAGAAGGCTTCGCAAGGCCTATTGCAGAGAAGGCTTCGCGAGGCCTACTGCAGGAGGCTTCGCGAGGCCTACTGCAGAAGGCTTCGCGAGGCCTAGTGCAGAAGGCTTCGCGAGGCCTACTGCAGAGAAGGCTTCGCGAGGCCTACTGCAGAGAAGGCTGCGCGAGGCCTAGTGCAGAGAAGGCTTCGCGAGGCCTACTGCAGAGAAGGCTTCGCGAGGCCTATTGCAGAGAAGGCTTCGCGAGGCCTACTGCAGGAGGCTTCGCGAGGCCTACTGCAGAGAAGGCTTCGCGAGGCCTACTGCAGAGAAGGCTTCGCGAGGCCTATTGCAGAGAAGGCTTCGCGAGGCCTACTGCAGGAGGCTTCGCGAGGCCTACTGCAGGAGGCTTCGCGAGGCCTAGTGCAGAAGGCTTCGCGAGGCCTACTGCGACAGGCTTCGCGAGGCCGTCCCTCTGTCTGACAAGATGGCTGCCCGCTCCCCCTGCGATCCGTGAACTAAATGAACTAAACAAGATGGCCGTCGCATCCGGCGCAGCCAATGACATCGCTTGTTGCAATCCTTGCTCTGTGGGCGCGCGAGTCAGTGGGGAGGGGGGTGTGGACGTCATCGCTCTGTGGGCGCGCGAGTCAGTGGGGAGGGGGGTGTGGACGTCATCGCTCTGTGGGCGCGCGAGTCAGTGGGGAGGGGGGTGTTGACGTCATCGCTT